ATGATTTTGTAAAATAATCGCTCCAAAACCATGACTACTTGCATCAGTATGCAGTTCAATAGGAAGATCTGGGTTAAAAATGGCTAATACTGGCTCATTTGAAAGAATATTTATGACATATTGAAAAACTTTCGTATGCTCGTCTGTCCATTTCCAAGGGACATCTTTTCGCAAAAGATTGGATATCACTCTAGTTTTTACTGAAAACTCAGGTACATATTTTCGGAAATATCCGGCCAGACCAAGAAATTGACGAACTTCTTTTATATTAGTAGGCAGTGAGAGATCTTTTAAAGCCTGTGATTTAGAAGGACTTGGTTTTACACTACCATTTGAAATTAAGCGGCCTAAATACTCTACTTCTGTTTGAAGAAATCTACATTTCTTTATATTTACTGAGAAACCATGGGACCTTAAAGTTGTTAGAACTATTCGTAATTTATCGAGTCCCTTTTCTAAGGTGACAGAAGGAATAAGAATATCGTCTAAATAGACAAGAGAGATACTCTTTTGAATCTCCGACAGTAAAGCAATATTAATAGCCCTTTGAAAAATAGATAGAGCATTCGCCAGACCAAATGGCATACGCAGATATTCATATTGTCCATCAGGTGTTATAAATGCCAATTTTTCCACAGAATCTCGATGGACTTTAATTTGGTGAAATCCCGCAGCCATATCTAAAGTAGTATAATATTTACTACCGCTCAAACGATCTATGTGATCATCTATTAGTGGGAGAGGAAAACGGTCTTTGACTGTGATACGATTCAGGGCTGTGAAATCACACACTAGGCGTGGCTCGCCATTTTTCTTTCTCACCAATAAGACGGGACTGGCATAGGGCGATCGGGAAGGTTGAATAATATAATTTTCCAGTAGGTCTTGTACAATATTACGGACAATTTCTCTTTCGGCTACCGATAGTCGATAAGGCCGATATTTTATTTCTTTTTCAGATGTAAGTCGAATTTTAAATTCACCGGTAGTTATAAGAGAGGGAATTTTATTTCCACCGGTTATTATGTCTGAAAACTCGCTTAATACTGCTTGAACCTGATAGTCAGCTGACACAGTATCGATTGATTCAGGATATTTAAATTCCAATTTTGGAACGGATTGAATATATGTAAGTACCGTATGATCGAATAAAAACGGCGTCCAGTTGGCTTGGAAATGACGATCGATGACATTTCCCATATAAAATGACAGCGATCTTCATTTCATAGCCATCGCTGACGCCGTTTTTATTCGATCATACGGTACTATGCCAGGAATATTTAAGAAATCCACACCTATTATGACGTCACAGCATATCGCTTCATTATGGACAACATGCAGTTCAAGAGAAAATTCACGGTTATCTAAAATTACATTAACATATATGGTGTGAAAGGAATCAAACGAATTATTACCTACGCCTATGATAGATCTATGTTTTTCTGTGAAAGAATCTGAAATTGTCTTTGCTATCCCTTCACGAATAAGAGACACTTGAGCGCCCGTATCTAAAAGCACTTGACATATAACGCCATTAAGGGTAAGGGAATACAAACAGAGTTGATCGTCAATTTCGGCTGGCCCAGACAAACCAGACATATTTACGTGTTTAGATTTATGATCTTTTTTCATAAAGCGCATTCTTTTGAAACAGTTTTCGAAAGAATGTCCGTTTGAAAAAGTTACAATTTAATGCCTGCGAAGAGAAAGATGTACTAGGTGTATCATCCCTTTCTCGTTTTACACCTCGTATAGAGCATGCCGACTGACGATGCCCTACCTTGCCACAATTAAAACACTTAACTTCATTACGCTTTATAACAATATTACTTGAAGCGTGCTTATTGTCATGTATCTTTTGATTGTCTTGACGAAGGATACTTGGCTTAGCCTGTATGCGTGATAAATGTGCAATAAGCGAACCGGCAGTTTCATAGCCTGCCTGCGTTAACTGAGCTTGTAAAGCGGTATCCTTTAAACCGAAACAAATCAAACTAACAATCTATTCTTGTGCAAAAGGCACACGTAATATATTTATTTTTTGAAGTTTTATACGGCCGTAAGATCCATAAGAAACACAACCCTCAGAGTTATAACAAGTAGCGTCATGCATTAGCTGGCCAAAATTAACACTTCCGGCAAAACTTTCACACAGATCTCTCTTTAAACTTTCCCAAGAACGGCGATCAACAGGACTCCAACTACTAAAACACTCACCTGCCTCACCTTCAAAACAATTTGCTATTCTCGCCATCAGGACCCCATCATTCCAGCCTAAATCGGTAGCTAGTTCCGACACATCGTTGACCCAACGTTCAGGATCGTCTTTTCCGGGCTTAAACAGCGGTAGAACTACAGAATCTCCTGATGACGCACTATTGTTTACACTCACACGCGAGTCAACCCTCTCAAACAGCCCGCGAACTAAACTTTCCAAAGCAGAAACCACATTCACGTTTTCGTCAGCCATTTTGATTAAGTTTTTCGTCACTTTTGTACAATAAAAAACTAAAACATCAATGGGCAATCTATTATAGGGTAATACCCCACTTCTGATTTTAGAAATTAAAGTAATAAACTGAACTAATCTCTTTATTAAAGGATTATTCTTATAGAGATTTACAAGGCATGAGGTTATTAGATCGCAGTGTTCTCTCTAACTAACTAACTAACACACGCGCATCGAATTACCACCTGGACTTGCATTTCACAGAGGGCGTCATGGCATAGCCATAGGCGTGCCGCTAACACTCACCCTATATAACTTTTCGGATCAAATTTTAATTTAGTTTAACATACAATGGAAATTGTAATTAAATATCAGGCTATAAAGTGTAATTTAAGATTTAGGTAACTGTTATTGTAATTCAAAATTTATTCTTCATTTTCACAAAACGTGAAATATGTCAAAATCCCTATATTTTAGTCATATCCTTCTTTGAGTTTTCACCTTTATTTTTTTCATAGAATCCGAAAATCAATTAATATATATGGTGTTCCACTACAAAGAACATAACCTTAATATGTCACTTTTGTGGGCACACCCTGTATGTGTCCCCAACCTGTATTTCTAAAATGCTTTCAATAAACCTACATATGCTAAGATAGGCGCTGTATATCTGTATATCTACAACTCATCGTAAAATGAATCAGAGAACTACTTCCTCGTTTTTCTTGATAGATTAGTAAATGCATATTGAATAAATATTATTTATTAAACTAAAAAAATAAAAATGTATGAATTTGGTTAAAAATTAGGCTTTTGGGTTTAAAATGGCTCCCTAAATAGCATATTCTACATTACTTTTTATTTGGCCCCCCCCCCCTAAAAGAAATTCCTGTATCCGCCCCTGGCAGCACGCACACCCGGTCCGATCAGGACAGCCTCGGAATTTCGGCAAGACCCCGTCAAGTGTCACTGTTAGTGTGCGAACACAGCAAGCAGGTTTGCCGCTTACTGGTAGTCAGCGCCAATCTGGGCACCTATTCTTGACATCGTTCGCAATTTTGCGTATACGCATCACGTGTATTGTTATAAACAGGGTATCCCAGAAATAAGTGCAAGTATTTTAAAGGGTGGTAGATCTCGATAAAAGAAACATATTTTCTCTTTATCGTTTTTCAAATAAGTCCAAAATAGTGGAGTTATTTTACCTTGAAAATTTCCAAAAAAAAATATTTTTTGCTAAAATTTTGAGAACCTTCTTCTTCATGTGCCTTCTCCTCATCGGAGGTTGGCGACCATTAATTGGAATTCCTCCCTGTCTTGAGCCAAACGGATAATTGCACTGGCCTCTCCTATATTAAACCACTGGCGCAAATTCCGCAACCAGGAAAACCGTTTACGCCCGATGCCTCGTCGTCCTTCAATGTTTCCCTCAACGATCAGCTGTAGGAAACATTTGTTATTTCGAAAAATATGACCAAAATATGCTGCTTTCCGTCGTTTTATTGTAGTCAATAGTTCTTGGTCCTTACACATTCTTTCCAATACTTCGAGATTTGTTTGAGAACCACTGGATCTTTTCTGGATTTTCTTTCTTGTAAATTTAATCTACTATCTATGTTGCCATATTATCAAGAAATTATTTTTTTTTAAATAAAAACTAAAAAAAATTGCAAAAAAATTCCAAAAATATTTTCAAAAAATTCTGAATTTACAAAAAAAAATTATTTAGAAAAAAACCTCATAGGCGTGTTTCTGGGGTTGAACCAAAGACATCTAAATATAGGTAGACAGAACACTCCATTCATAAAACTCAATTTTTTAGAATCATACATGGTTTGGCACTTTTATGAGAGTTAAAAAGAGATGGGTACATAAATATGACAACACGGTTGAGTTTCGTCTGTCTTTCTGTCATTTCACTCCATCAGTGGCGTGACGGTGGTGTGGTGTTTTTTTATCAAAAATTTTAAAATAGTTATTTTGTGTATTTTAATTTAAATTTTAATTTGTAATATACGTAGTAATATCGATAATATACAATGTAGGGGCGTTTGCACCAAGTTTTTTAAGCAAAACTTAACACTATGTTTAGCTTATTTTCTTGCACTATGCTTTAATCTAACTTGAATTTATATTTAAATTAAGCGGTCAAATTTCCAGGCTAGTGGTCACTTAACCTATCTTAGACACAAAAATATTGTTTTACGAGGAAGAATTATTGTTATTCCTTTGAGAAAGCTAAAAAATGTATTATGATACCTCTACGTAAGTTCGATGATTACTTTTGATATCCTAGACGTCGATCAGTAGGTATATTCATTGAAAATGGATTTCCTCAAGAATGGATGTAAGGAAAAATCATATTGCCAAGAAATGAACCTCCTTAAGTTTTTAGGACAGAGGCTTTTAAACGACACTGTAATATATATCATTATTAATTACCTCGGTTTAATTGAACAAAATCTAGAATATCAAAATGAGAGGTAAGTTGGAATGCTAGTAAATCTAATGTAAGATAAATTAATTATATTATTTATACTTTGAACCATTGTTATTTACAATATACTCTAATAAAGGCCTGTTGGGGCACAGATCCACTACCTGCCTTTTCCTAAAATAAACACAGCAAACGTTAAAACATACTATAAAAAATAAGATATATTTTGTCCAATGAAACCGTATTCAGTGTCATAGATATTATTGAAAATTCATGGATTCTAGTTTCCCAGAAGAGATTTATTTCTCCTACTTACCTTTCCTTTAACAGCAAGATATACAGAATATTCTAGAATTTCGTGGGGGTTCGAACCTGGTGGTTCCCATGATAAGTGGGCGCCATCGTTGGCTTTGGCGATTTTTATAGCCGAGGGCGCTCCAGGATAGCCTGGCACACAGGTCTTAAACGCTGAAACCTAAAACAACAAATTTGTGAGCATTTGAACTGGCTTAAATTAATAAATAATATAAATTTATTGTAAAAACTTACCTCGCTCCACTCTCCTTTTCCGACGGAATTTATTCCAGCCACTCTATATTTATAAGCTGTGCCCGGCTCTAGACTAATTCTCGGGAAATTCGATAATTCAGGAAGTTCGTCCACTGTCAAATTGTCCGTATCTGACAGCAGGAAGTAGCTTTGTACATCGTAACTTGTCCCTTTAATAAAACCTACAGTATACCATGTTCCCTGGAAAAGAAACATAATTACCATTGCCTGGAACAAACAAGGATCTTGTTCTCACCTTTACAGGCTCTTGGGGTACAACAGAACCATTCAATTCAGTCTTGTGTATGCCTTTGGAGGCATCTAGCGCTGCAGTGGCTAGAGCTGCAAGAGGATCTTCGCTTCCTTCTGTTTTTTCCAACACGTCTTTCTCATCTATTTGCTCATTCATTTCTTCATCTTCGTCTTCCGGGTCTGCGCCTTCTAACTCGCCTATTCTGTTCGAATGGAATGAGGAATTGAATCCGCTGTCCGGCTCTTCACTTTTCAAATCTAAATCAAGCGACGTCTCGCTGACTCCTGCGTTCAGAGTGTCTAAAGTATCTTCAGGCTCGTCTTTAAACTGATATGTCGCGGTATCCTCTGTGGTTAGCTCGCTCTTTATGTCTGTAGAGTTAAGTTCAACCGCCATTCCTTCGTCAGTGACAGTCTTCTCTGCATTATCTTCTTTTGTCTTAGCCAGACCGTTTACATTTTCTGTAGAGTCGGCTTCTGCAGTAGTTGTAGGCGATTTGGAAATATCTTCGTCTTTACTGCCGCCTTTTAGACCTAGTTTATTATACCGATAACCTGAACGAAATAAAAAAATTATTGCACACTGTTTTATGAAAATCGACAGAAATTATATACCTGAAGGAGGATGACTACCACCACCTTTTAAAGTTAATTTGTAAGGTAAACTACCACCCAATAACCCACTGGCAGATAGCTCTGCAGCGTCTGCGCTTTCAGAAAGAACAGACGCGTCCTCACTCCCGTCGTCAGTTACCATCATCTGATCAACAGAAACCATGTCAATATCTTTTGGTTCAAGCTGTTTATCAGACTCAGGGTCTATAAGACCAGCCTCAGCTGCTAATGCCGCAAGAGCAGCATCAGTAGTCACTGGGGTTTCGAATGAAGTTGAGGCTAAAAAGCAAATGATATTCAATAAAAAATAATTGAGAGATTATGTAAAATATACCTAATGTGACTGATGGCTGAGTTGTTTGTTTTGGTCTCTGAACAACCATTAATTTAGGCTGTTCAATATTATTACTAATGTTTGAAGTAGTAGGAAGACGTACAATCTTGCCTATTTGGGATGGCTGAACGACAGTTAAGGTTTTGTTGGAACCAGTTGCCATCTGCACTGTCAGCTGTTTACCACCAATCATTACTTGTTTCTAAAAGAAAATATTTGAATTATATACAATTCAAGCAACAGTTAATAAAGTATTTACGGTAGTTTTTGAAAGGGTAACTGTTTTTGTAGATCCAACAACTTGCATTGGCATAGAAATGGTAATTGGTTTGGCAATTTTAACACCTTGAAGCCACTGAAGTGAAGATGCGGTGACTATAGGATTTGTGGTGACAGTATTGGTTTTCACTAATGACATGTTTACTGCCTGAGCGTTGGTCACTGTCTGTATATTTTTAAGACCACTTGTAGAACTGACCACCAGAACTTGTTGATTTCCTATTGTGGGAATCTGACCAGCAGGTCCCTTTGACAAAACAAATTTACCTGTCGTTTTATTCATTTGAATCATATTAGAAGGAATTGTTTTTAAGGTTGTCAAGACCTTGGAATTGAGACTATTGGAATTGCTAGGTACAAGCTTAACTATAGTATTTTTTGTTTGTGGGCTAATAACTTGGCCAGGAGCTTTTGTTTGTACAATACTTCCTCCCTTGGGCAAGGTTGCCAATGTCATGCCAGTGCTGGTCTTGACAAGAGTGACTACTTGCGGCTGGACACCGGATTTTTGAATATTGGCCGCTTGTTTGACCAAGACAGGTTTGCCAGCTTGTTGAGTAGTTGCTGTCTTTATTATTGTGGCACTAGGTGCACCTTGAACTCTCACTGAATTGGCTAATTTTATTTGGGTAGGCTGAGCCACAGTTATTTTCTGAGTAGCAGCTGCCGCCGCCGCCAATGCTTGGATGCCAAACATCTGACCTGTAGGTGCTTGATTCTGCTGAACCCCTTTCACGGGACTATCTGTAGACTGTATTTGAACTGTAGTTGTGCCTGATTGTAAATTAAGCGTCTGAGGAGTTGTCACTGCAGCAACTTTATCAGGATTTCGTGCTAAATTTAATAGACCAAATTTAGTAAATATATACATAATATATAGGGTAAGTCTTTACTAAGTGAAAATATTTTTAGGTGTAGTATATTTCGACCCCATAAACACGATTATGATGTTTTTTTCGCGAAAAAAAATTTATGAAAATTTGGAATTTTTTGAAAAAATTTTGATTTTTTTTTAGTTTTTAGTTAAAAACATAATTTGTTGATAATATGGCAACATAGGTAGTAGATTAAATTTAAAAGAAAGAAAATTCAGAAAACATCACCGAGTTTTCAAAATATAAGCAAAAAACCTTTTTTTTTAATTTTCCAAGTAAAATAACTCGGTTATTTTAGATTAATTTGAAAAAAAAGGCAAAGAGAAAATATATTTCTTTTATCGAGATCTACACTAGCCCTGAACATATTTGTACTTATTTAAAACTCACCCTGTATATACCGGGTGCGTCTCAAAAGTGGCTCACCCTTATACTTTTGTTAGTATATGATATAAATTAGGAATGATTGACGTATTCAATTGTTTTTGGTTACTTTCTGTTTCACCGGAAATGACTACAACTTTTGATTTTTAAATGGCACCCTCGGTTATTCGATAGAAAATCACATTCTGAATAGAATGACATATCATATGTCAACTTCTGACATTCTCGCTAAATAAAAAATTTTATTTTAAATTTCAATCTAGAGTGTCATGACTATGTTAAAAAATTGGTCAAGTGCGAGTCGGACTCGCACACGAAGGGTTCCGTACCATTCATTATCTATACAACATTAGACACTATATTATTATAAACTTTTTTTCCGATTTAGCTGAAATTTTGAATGCGCGTATAAGTAATTAAAAAAAAAAGAATGAAGAAACACATTACTAAAAATTGTATTAATCAATAATAAATATGTAAAAAGTAAAGATAAATATGTAAAAATTAAAAAAAAAACATTAAAAAAAGTCGCCTTGACTAGGATTCGAACCTGCATTACTACGGCTCCAACGTCATAGCAGCGTAAAGTCCTAACGCTTTAACCACGCGGCTACCGAGGACTTGGCAGATTCTATGTAAAATTCTTACTTAAAAGATTATGTTCAGTGAAAGTACTTTTTTATTTATACATTATCATTCATTATTATTATTATTCATTAACATTTATTTAATTCTGTTTTTGGTATTTGTTCTTATAGCGGTAACATAGATACATTATCTGTAAAAATTTCAACTGTCTATCTATAACGGTTCATAAGATAGACCTTTGTGACAGACGGACGGACAGCGAGTATAGTCAAAAGTAGGCAACACGTTTAAAGAAGATCGATTGCAGCACACCCTTGAGCCCTAACTGAACTAATGGAAATATGACAGACGTAATCGGTAAAATGGATATCTGCATTATCTACCACAAAAAAGGCGGGCAGTTTAAATGTGAATATAAAATTTATGTATTTTTAAAAATATTACGAAATCAAAACTGCAAAAAATATAATGAAAATTTATTTTTAAAAACGGAATATTTGAAAAGTATAAACTATTGTCCGCTTTTCAAATGCTTACAGTTAAATGGGAAATTAAATTTAATCATTTAAAACATATATGCTGAATTAACCTCGAGGGGTAAACCGCTGATGAATTTCTGTACATTAATGCTAAAGTAATGCCAAATAATTTAGTACTAATACCAATAATACCACGAAAATGCCAACATCTTGTACACCAAAATACACCAGCGGTTTACCCCTCGAACAACCTATAGTATTACAAAACGTATTTAACAACGCCACTAACAAAGCATATAAGATCGCAGGGTTTGCAATCTATGCTATTAGAACAGATTAAGATTTAAATAAGACATCATCAAAAATTAATTCACCTTTAAGTTGGATTTATAAACTCAGCAGTTGAAGTTCAGTTGAGGTAACAAATGTTCAACACTGTGAAATGAAGGCGCGAATTTATAGTCAGTTCGTTTTACTTCACAGAGTTCAGAGATGGGCAATGTCTTTACATATTGAACTTGCTTTGCATGATACCCTTTCCTGGATGATGTTCAAATCACAAATCACATCATCGGCTGAACAAAATACTACATGATGACGGCAAAACACATAGCACAAAACATAAAGTTCCAATCATAAAGAAATATAAGGTCTCTGGTTCCTCAGGAAATAAAACTTCCTCCATAATTTCTGTATGCAGAAACACAAAACAAACAAACAAAGTATATGCTACACAAAATAATAACAAAATTCCAAAATTCAAAACAAAATTGTAAACAATTGCAAAATCCCAAAATACAAATAATTTGCTGTCATGTCACTTGTCAATCTTGCCATGACACGTGACAGGTAGCAGATGGCGACGCTTTGGAGCCCTAACTGAACTATGCAACATTATGGCCAAGTTAACAACCTTTCAAACACTCTTTTATTTTAGTTACTTTATGGTAATAGGGTTCCCGTTTTTACCCTTTGGGTACGGAACCCTAAAAACACTAATTCTTAATCAAGGAGCCCAGGAAAAACAGATTTGACCGTCTAATGTTTTTAGTGGCTTGTCCTGGCCGGTTAAAAAATATCCAAATCGTATTTTTAATCATATCTCAATTTTTTCAAATGGAACGAAGATGGCTCATTAGCATATTTGGAAAAAGCATTTTTTTACGAATAATTTGATACCACACATTTGGTATTTAGAGTCAAATTTTCGTTACAAACCGCAAGTGATAATTTCAAATAAACCATATGCGAAAATGTCAAAGTTGACATATGATATGTCATTTTATTCAGAGTGTTATTTTCTATTGAATAAAGTAAAAAAATAAAGAGGGTGCCATTTAAAAATCAAAAGTTATAGTCATTTCCGGTTAAACAGGAAGTGACAGAAAACAATATAATACGTCAAACAATCCTAATTTATGTCATATACAAATAAATATACCAAATCTCGTTTTTTAACAAAAAAAAAATTAAAAAATTATAAGGGCTGAGCCACTTTTGAGACGCACCCGGTATATATACAGGGTGTCCCAGAAATAAGTGCAAGTATTTTAACTGGTAGTATAAATGAAACCCAGAAACACGCCTATGAGGTTTTTCACAAAAAAAATTATATATTATTTTCAAAATTTTCAAATTTCGGATTTCTTCGAAAATCGATTTTTTTGAAAATTTTTTTGTTTTTAGTTAAAAAACATAATCTCTTGATAATATGGCAAGATAGGTAGTAGATTAAATTTAAAAGAAAGAAAATCCAGAAAAGATTCAGCGGTTCTAAAAAATTTTAGCAAAAAATATTTTTTTTGGAAATTTTCAAAGTAAAATAACTCCGTTATTTTGGACTTATTTGAAAAACGATAAAGAGAAAATAATAATATTACTTATGTTTCCTTTTACCTAGATCTACCACCACTTAAAATATTTGCATTTATTTCTGGGACACCCTGTATATACATATATAGCGACTTGTATCCTGCAATATCTCCTAATTGAAATTTAGAAGTTGAAATATCCTATATTAATTTAACTCCTAATAAAAGCATAAAATAAAAATAATGTGAATTATTTAATCTGTATTTGTCAAATAAACATAGCAAATATAAAAACCATTTATAATTGCAAAATATAACATGGAAAAATAGAAAAACAAACATTTATTTTCTGCCCCTGAAAAGTTAATCTGTCAACACAGGAGAAATGGCAGGCTTCAAGTCGGTATACAATTGGAAGGCCGTCGTCACAATCACAGAATCAAAAGAAATTTTGTAAATACGTAGATAAATTAAAATTAGTATACCAAACCAAACCAAACCAAACACATACCTTTCACTTGTACTTTAAACGGGCTTAAAATCGGTGTAGATGTTTTTGTTTGAACTGGAATACCAGGTGGGCTGCCAGGCACAGATGGAGCTTGCTTAGGAGAGCTTAAAATTTGAGCGGTACTTTGTTGAGATGCTGCTGATTTTGGAGCTGGTGTTTGAGTTGGGGGGAGGTCATATTTTTGTATCTATAAATAGAAAAAAATAAATACAAGAAAAGTTTATAAATCAATGATAAATTACTTGAAGAACATAGGTGTGTACAGAAGGTGATCCCGTCCAATTTACTTCTAGGGAATGAGTGCCTGCTTTTACTAGGGACACCCTACTAGGAGCAGGAGGTTTGTCTACTTCCAGATACCAAAGATCTTTACAACACACTTGATTCAACTTCCAGGCTTTTCTGTGTTGAATATTTCAATCATAAATTTTAATTTGCAAATTCACATATGTATATAACTCACCTATATCCATCCCTTCCAGACCAAATATATAACCTAGTACTAATTCCTACTGCACAATGGCCAGCTCTAGCACAAGGGACAGTGCCTTCGTGTCCACTGAGAATATTTAAATCTTCCCAATTCATAGATTCTAAATTAAGGCATGCCATTGTACTAGTACATTTCCACTCTTTTTCATTTGTTGCTAATTTTCCTTCATCAGCAACTACTGGAACCCAACCACCAAAAACAAACATTCGGTGACCAATAAGAGTTGATGTATGAAGAGACCTGTAAAACATAAATTAAATAAAAAATTACATGATAAGTAGACAACACTGGAAATCAAGGATTTTTTTTTAAAGTGGGACTGGAATGATCTCCAAACAGTAAATGAACATTAAACTTAATTTTAAATAGACATTGCACTCTTTGACGAGTCTCTAGGTCAAAAACAAGGTTGCCACATTGTAGAAATAGTTACAAATTTAACGAAATATATTTGCTATAAATAAAAAATTGTAATTTGATGTCAAAAACTAAAACAGAATTTCACCTTGGTAGTGGAGTGATTCCTGAAACAATAGGCTGACTCCATGTCATTACATCAGTATCTAAAAACCACAAATCTCCAAGCCTGCACCCACTCATTCCACCATAGATTACCAAAAATGATTTATGCCGCTTCTTATCAACATAAGCAACACCTGTGTGAGATTCTCTAGGAGGAGGTGATGGTCCATGGGTAATAGGTATATCCCATTGCATTGGACTGCGAATGTCCAATGTATACAAATCATTTAAATATCTAAAAAAAGGAAAATCATAATCTCTGAATATGATACACACCCTAATTACTACCTTGGTACATTATTTTTGGGATCGTCACTATCATTAGCCAGACCACCAAATAAGTAAACTTTGCTATTTACAATAGTAAAACTGTGGCCCAATCTAGGGCAGGGAGGGGGGCCAGCCTTCGGGTTTTTTGGATTAATTTTCTTCCATTCCCACTTTGAAGCCTTACAAATATAAATGTTAGAGAAACATATTTTTATAAAACAACTTTTAAAATACCTGTAGTTCATATAATTCGTTACTATATTTGCCATATTCTACCATTCCACCAAAAACTAAAAGCCTAGTACCTTCCACAACAAAACCATAAGCTGCACATCCTGGAGGTACATCACCTTTAGTTACTGGTACAAACCACTGATTGGTAGCTAGATTAAAAAAATATTTTATCATGTATATTGTTTTCATTTATACTGTGTGTGTGTGTGATGTGTATGAAATAATAAACACCAGTATGAAATGTACATACTGTATACGTGTATTCATTTAAATTTTATTATCCAGTTACAAAATAAAAAATTAATAAATTTGACATTGTTATTATGAACACATGATTTTAAATTTGCCGCCTTAAATAAATGCTTGAAAGCTATTGGTCAATCAACTCCCTGTCAATAATAAATACATTTATATACTGCAGATAAAGAATTGCAACAATGATTTGGAAATATAAACATAGACGATTAATTAATATTATGCATAAACCGTATTTGGCATAAACAATAAATTAATAAGGAAGAGGAAAAACATGCAGGATGCAGGTTAACGCAACGCGTCTATTCCTATTCCTATTGCTATGTGTACTCCGCCATATTTGTTTCAGGACTAAACAAATCACGAAAATGACATTTCTCTATTCTCAAATAAAATACAACAAATGTTTGTGTATTGCTGACAGAAATAAATTGTGCAATGAAAGGTGTTTTAAAAAAGAACAAAGTTTTACTCTAATATCTAAATGAAAACATATTAACGCGCCATATTTACCTACCGACAAGTAGAATGCAAAGCATTACCTGTATTGTAAACATGGAGTTCGTCGACAATTCCTTCATTACCACCGCCAAATACAACCATTAAATCTCGAATAGCAACGGCACGATGTCCATGGCGAGGCCTGGGTTGAGGGCCAGTGGGATTAGCCACTAATTTCCACTGTAACGCCTTATCCGCCATTACGTATGACTGCAGTCCACTTAGACATATAAGAAACCAATAGGCATCCACTTATCAAGTTTAAACTTTATACACAACACTTTACTTTCATACTAAATCAGTTAAGTCAATACACTTTTTTCTCTTTAAAAACATTGATTAAATGGTTTGAAAGCTTTGAATACTTCTTTTGCCGACATAAGCCACAAAACGTTAGAAAGATGCTTTTCATCTGTCGATAAAAGCAACTCCGACTTTACCTGTCGATTTTGGGGCGCCATCTAGCATGACTAGCAGAAACTATTTATAGTCACCTAAAATCTTGCTAGATGTCACATTTCGCGGATAAATCTCTTTAATTCAAATTTGGGTTATTAACAATCAATTTATATTAATAAAATTTTAATAAATCTTAAAAGCATTTTTACTGCAGATATAAGAGTAACTGTATTACTATTTTTTATAAATGAAAATAAAGGAATATAACAGAGGAGTATAATTTGTAATTCATAAAAAGGTTTCTTTATGATAATAGCTTTGTTCGAGTTCTTGTTATTACCGATTCTGAACCGTCCTTGATCTCTGCAGCGCATGCGCAAATGAAATAATGTGTTCATATTTCCTTTTGCGCATATACGCACCAGTTCTAGGATGGTTCAGAATCGGTAATAACAAGAACCCGAACAAAGCTAATATCACGGCACATAAAACAATCGGCACGCCAACTCTACTCAGGGTGCAGCCACACTATCCTAAAAACGGCGTATCGGCGTAACGGCGTAACGACCTTGAATCGATTTCCAGTAATTCTATTGGCTGAAATTTTTGACAGATGAATTTGACAGATAAAATTTCTGACAGATGAATGTTTCAGCCAATAGAATTACTGGAAATCTATTCAAAGGTCATACGCCGACCACGCCGATATGCCGTTTTATAACTCTACTCAGATTCCATTGTTTAAAATTTCTATAAAATTTTGACCTTGTCGGCGCCATTATCGTTTCCTAGTCAGAGCCGGATTAAAACGTATCAAAAAATTTCTCAGAAAATACGACAGGGTCGTATTAAAAAAATACTGTAATTGACTGAAACTGAATTTTATTTACAATACTTTTGTCCAAACAAATGAATCGTTAACCGCGCATACTTCTCCAAAAGTAAAAATTAAAAAACCAATTAAATATTTCACTGTAGAGAATAGACAATTAAAATTAAAAAACATGCAACTAACAAAAACATGCCAGGAGTTACAAACAAGAATTAAAGAAATACCAATAAAATAATTATTGAACAATATAAAGAGGCTACGTACAAATTATGCCCATCAATGGGCGTAGCAAATTTTATTAATATTCAAATTTCACAAATTAATAAATCCACAATTTTTTTTGAGAAACTTCAGTTTAGTCAAACAACAGTAGGTACCGCATTGTATTTTATACGGTTACAAAGTGAATTGGTAAACATTTTAAATTCAAAGTGAACAGAACACAACCTGTACTTGTGGGCCTTATTTATATCTTCAATCAAGTCTTCTCTATTAGTTGCAACTGCCCATGTTCTTGCCCTAAAAATGTATTGTTAACTTATTTTCGATATAATCATTTTATTTATTTTTATAATTATATTTAAATGAATAATATAATGATTTTTAAATTTAATTTTTAATGTCTAGATTCTAGATACAACATTAAATTTTATTTTACTAAATATTTAACATTAAATCTTACTAATATTAAAGTTTGTTAAGATTTTTAATTAGATCTTCCTATTTAGCTGAATGTCCTAATATGTATACTACTGTTTTTTTTTTCACAACTAAAATATGTTAAAATAATTAATCACATATATACATACCTAATAGGATCTCTAGGAAACAGAAAGAAACTTTTATTGAACAACAAAAATAAAACTACTAAAACAAATTATATTACAGAATAATAATAATAGCTCCCGTATATAGCGTTTGACGCCTTGGGAGTAGCAAGGTACAGCTTGCCATACTAGAGCCGTTCGGTATACAAAGGAAGGTAATGTGGCTAGCACTACGCTTCAACCGCCTATTATTACCTCAGGATTGTGAATCCCAAGTACTCATTTAAGGCTGAGTCGACTTAGGTACCCAAACCATTTTTATTTTAATAAAAATTGTCGGCTGATGAAATGCCGGGTGTGGGATTCGAACCCACTACCTTGAGATTGGTAGACGAGAGCCTGTACCTCTACGCCACCGGGCACCTATTGGCAACTATATTACATAAGAAACGAAAATAAAACTAGAAAACAAATATATCACATAATAAACAAAATAAAACAACAAAAACAAAATATATCACTCAAGAAAAAATCAAATAAATTAAGCCGCACGCTACTGACTCGAATCTGCCGTAACTGTGTGTTGTCGCTGAAAAACTACGACACTGGTTACTTTCTGTTGATTGAAACGCAAATGGCGGCGTGCGCGAGGATATGCGCGTAGCGTTCCCGCCAAAGCGAGTAAAGGTACGTTTACATCTGATACTTATTGCCTGATATTTATGTCAGATAGACATTTTTGCTAATGTAAACACCCAAAAATTTATATCTGATATATATGTATTTGTCATCAGCGATTTATATCGACATTTATGTAGACGTAAGTGTAAACAGTTGGATGGGAGAAGTTCTGACTTGTCTGAAATAAATTGCATTAGTTAAATAGCCGTCTACTTTTTGAGAGAGTGTCGGGAAATAATTTCGTAGTTAAAACAATGGGTGTTAACAAGGAATGGGTGAAAAGTGAAGTTATGGACTTGACTAATATGTACCACAATAAACCCGAGCTTTGGGATGTGAAAAGTAAAATTTACAGAGATAGGTTTACAGAGATAGGATTTACAGAGATTTACGATGCTAAAAACCTCAATGTTACAGTAAGTCACTCTTGAACAGTGATGGCTCTTCTAAATTTGGCATTTTGTTTGTACATAAGGGGCTCTATTTTACTGGCCAAGTTTTGAAAGTCGCAGGGTTTCATTCGTAAAAAAATTGAGAATTGTGCTGGATCTTCAGCACTAAGTTCACGCATTAATTGTGTATAAGCACCTTGTTCCTCACGTCGCAAAATCCAGTCTCGAACCCACACAGAACGTTTTTTCTTATTACGCTTCAGAGTAAAGTAATAATTGCTGCAGCTTTTCTTTTCGATAACTTCATCTCTGTTCATGTAGCTATTGGATACTGGCTTTGAGACATATTTCGCGAAAATGAAATGTAAACAGTCTGTGAGATATTATGTCAGACACTAGACACTTATGTCCTGATTTTGGCTTTAGACATATCTCGCGTAAATAAATTACAAGTAATTTCTATACAGTGTAAACAGTCTGTGAGACATTATGTCAGACAGTAGACACTTATACCCTGATAAAAATGTCAGATGTAAACGTACCTTTAGCCTGCCGTGTGATTTATATGCCGTGCTAATATACAAGAACACTCCATTGGGCGCACTCCTGTGGCGCACTCAGTAAATGAGTAAACACACCGGACACCGGTATTAAGTATTAACCTTAGGTATTAACCAACCGGTAAAGACCTACCGATAACTTGAACGATCAAGCAGAGACAACTTCTGAAGTTGTCTCTAGATCAAGTTACCGGTACGTAAATAACTTGGAAACAAAATACGGTATGCTCTCAAGCTCAAGTGATCGGTGAATCAACCGGTGAGTTACCATTGGCATTCAATTTTAATTTTTTGCACCGGTGGACTAACCGATGTGTTTCCTGAATGCGCCCAATCATATACCGAGATAACAATGACATGATAACATGATAACCAATAACCATATATGTGCCATATATGATAACCAGATGATAACAATAACAGTAATGGTAATGCCTTTTGGGGTTAGAGAGAAAAAAGTAAATAAATAAGCTCTGAAATAAGTTTCATTTAATTATGTCTAAGCATTCCTTAACAAACTCTATAGATGTATGTAATAAAATCTATATTCTCTACAAAAATATATTAAATTCTTATGTTTCTGACTACTACATAGATAATCATTGGAAATCAAAACTATCAGAAAGCTGGCAGGATTTTTTTAAATCATTAGATATAACTGAAATTGCTAATCTTTTGGATTGTAAAAAGATAAAAACTGCAATTCCACCTTTATCATTAATATGCCTACAAGAAATAATAAAAGAATTTTCAGTTACCAGAAAGCAACAGATAATAAAAGATAGCATTAGTCTGAATAAACAATTGGAGAAACTTCTCTGGAAAAGTGTTAAATTAAAAAAGAGACACGAAATAGAGATAATGTCTAAAATTTGTTATCAATCTGCTTTGAAAACAAACTGCTTTAATATAGTTGATGTAGGTGCTGGGGTAGGCCATTTAAGTCGAATGCTTGCCTACCAATATGGCTTTTTAGTTTCTACCCTTGAAGCCAATGAGCAACTGAATCAAATGGCTTATAAATTAGACATGGAATTAGAAAATAAACTCTTACGAAAAGGTATTTCTCATTCAAATCCTAAGAGAATTCTCCATTTTAATTACAGAGTTGATGAATCTACAACTAGCAGCCAAATAATGTCAATAATAAAAGAAGCATTTCAGAGTGACAATGGTCAGTTCAAATTTGGAATAGTTGGACTTCATCCTTGCGGAAATCTTGGATCAATGTTACTCAAGTTGTATAATAATTGTTCAAATATTTCTTTTATTAACATTGTAAGTTGCTGTTACATGAAGCTAAGCTTCGAATCAAACTTGTTCACAGGATACCCTTTGAGCCATGTTTGCCTTAAAAAACAATTTAAACTAGACTATTTATCATGCGAAACTGCTTGCCATGCCATTGAAAACTATGTAAGCAAACTAAAAACAGAAAACCACCATCATTTGAAAATTCATGCATTTAGAGCTGGCCTAGAAACTATATTGGTAAATATAAATCTTGATTTAAAACATTCTGCTGTAGGAAACGTAAAGTATGAGGAAAACATGACTTTCGAAGAGTATTGCGATAGAGCTTTAAAGAAAATGAACGTACAAATCCCAAAATCCAAGATGAAAGATGTTGAGAAAATGGTGGAGGCGTCTTGGGAAAAAGTTGTTAAATTTTATTCGGCGAGACTGTTCTTGGCTCCTCTAGTGGAATCGATAATTTTATATGATAGATTATTGTATTTAGCTGAATCAAATAGCCACTGTAATATTGTACCTGTTTTTGACTGTAAAATTTCACCGAGAAATCATGTTTTAAGGGCTGAAAAAATATTTGCAAAGGAATATTGAAAATCAAGAAATAAATGTTTTTTATTTGAAATCTTTTTTATTTCACTTTCTTAAAATGAACAATACAAAAATATAAATCTACAATCCTTAACAATATTCAGTCTTGTAATAAATTTAAACATACAGACCTATCTATTTAGTTAAACTTTTAAAGTCAAACGAGACACAAAAAAAACTTAAATAATATCAATAGAACAATTCAAAAAATAAATTAGAATTATCAGCTATTAAACACAGCCTTCAGTAAAAATACATCAATATAATTTATGTACTTATTTTGGCAACTTTTTTAGCTTAAGTCTGGTGAAAGACAAGTAATCATAATGATCAAAATAAACAAAATTATTTCACCAAGCTCGCGCTAGATTTTTTGGATCATTCCATGTCTTCTTGAAGGGCCATTTCAGGTACTGAACAACCTAAATCCTTCAGCTTGAAAAGATCCGCTGCTGAAACACATTTCCTAATCACATTCAAATACAAATCGTTAGCCGTTTTAAAAAATAAAACTAGGTGTCCTACAACATTAATGTTAAATGGATGTTGGTGGTATAAAAAGCGATCGTCTTGGATATGTTTTAATTGGATGTCCTCACCAAAATCTACGAAAGTTATTTGCGGATCCAACACATTTTTCAGCTTCTACAAAAAAAATCAAAATCAATCATTTTGTAAAAAAAACTATATGGAAAATATTACTTCTCTTTCTTCAAAAAGTAATGCATCAATAAGCAGGAAATACAAATACTCTATACCACTTAGGGTCTCATGAGAGGCGGCTTCATTGGTTCGATTAACTGAAACATTCACTTCTTGCATTTTGGAATAGTTCACCTCATTTTCCATGCAGCACTGGATAATTCTTGATATAGCAAGAACCCTAAATAAAAATAAAAGTTAATGTTATAACAGAGTGTCCAGTTACATGCAAAAATAATGCTTACATTATCTTCCTTTCCATAATGTCTAAGAATTTTATGTACTCCAGTTTCCAAGAATTCATGATGTAATTTAACGCGCTTCCACCATTGGGTCCTGGAATTAATGACAAATATGCCACAGTGCTGGAAGTCCGTATCATGCAAATAAATGCAAAAATCATCCAGGTGGGAATGATATTCTGCTGGTGCCTGCAGTTACTGGTTATAACGTTTCTCAAAATAATCTCAAAATGGGGCTCCATCAAGTCCGAAAATTCGAAGATGCTCACAACGACCAATTTGTCACAAACGTGAGCTGGTAGAACAACGTCAGGCTGTAACATTTTTGCTAACAGCTCTGGATATGCCTGAATGGCAATCTGATTCTTTGGATCCTGTCTAATGAATTTCAACCTCTCAATTTGTTTGATTATTAAAGTTGTCAAGAGTATTGCTGCAGACTCTTCAACTTCAAACTCAGGCTCCTCAGCTTTATTGAGGAGATTAGCAGCCCCCATGAACAACTGGATAATTAAGTATTCATCCATGGAAGGAGTATAAAGTGCAAAAGTGTTTAAAATATCCAAAGTCTTGTCTAGATGGTTTTGCATATGGTTAGGTTCAAAATTGTGTATTACATGATACAAATATGACAAAAATTTATCATGACTTAGTATTTTAAAGTTCCTGTTCTGTGCTAATTTAGCAACAATAAAATGGACTTCTTTTAATATATACGGAACAGATATATGACTATTGACAACCTTCACCAATATATCTTCTATAGCATCTATATTGTCTGTTGTTATTTGATGGAAAGCCTGTAAAATATATCACTAGTTCTTTCGAAGTTTAGTAACAGAACTGATTTTACCTTAACAAAATATCCTATGGCATTAAGAAGATGATTTAAAGGAAAATCTTCTTTCCTGGCAATACCTAAAAGGCAACATATTATAGCTCTCGAATCATCTCTAATGGCACATTGCTGTTCTTGGGACATCTTTGGATAACACTTCAGAAAGTTACATAAAGTGCTACAAAAATATTGTTAGAAATCATTTTTAAAACAATAAAAGTGTGATTACTCGACCAAAGGTATAAAGTATAGCTTTGGTTCTGTTATTATTTTCTGGAAAATGCTCTTAAGTTGGTATCCTAGTATATTCGGAGAACAGTCAAGGCAAAATACTCCACACATCCAGATAATTCTTGCAGTCAAAGACATGTTAATTGGTTTTAATAATTGAATCTACAAATAAAAATAAAATAAATACTAAACAATATTTAAATTCTATTTAAACCTTAGTCCAATAATTTATATAATGCTCTAAAGGAAAAACAAATTCAGGATCTCTTGAGGGCAATTTTTCTTTCACCATGGTTAAACCAAAAATTAAAGCTTCTGTAACTCTCGTCATATAACAACCCCTTTGGATTTCGACACATGAAGCAGATGAGGCTTCAAATTCAGTGGTAAACCTTTGAAAAACATGATGCAGACTTTCAAAATACATAACTTTCCCATCAGGACGACTGTCCTCCAATTTTTGTAAAGATGTCTAAAAATGAAACTAATAATATGATTTCTTTTTGCCATGTGAACTTACAGTTATGATTTGACAACCGATTTGTCTCATACCAAAGTGGTGATCAGTTTCAGCTTCTTCACTATACAAATGCTCCTCCATATCATCATAGCAAGCCATAAAGATAAAGACACAGTATAAAAGATTTTCAAAATCTTCAAATAGCATATTAAAATAAACTGTATCTATCATTGAATGAATATAGCTTAAAAGTGCTATAACCAAATCTGTGAAATTGCATGGGTCATCTGTATCTCCTTCAGAACAATCTTTGGGAGGTGTTTTATCAGGTTTTCTAAGCACTCTTTTGAATACATCACGACAATATGTTAAAAGACTTGCAATTATATGCAAACTTGGAGGTAAAAATATTGAAGAGTATTCCTCAAATTCTTCTACACTTCCAGTTATAAATTGAACAATTTCCCCTTTAAACTGGAAATCTGAATTGATGGAAAATGGTTCTACTAAAGCTTTTTCAAACTCTGCTGATAGCATTGTCCAGCATTCAGGAACATAGAACTCATTAGGCCTTACATATTTCATCATCATATACATAGGACGGATAACACTAATTCTAGTTTCAGACCTAATAGAGGTCTAAAAATATTTCTAATTAATTTAGATAAAAATGAAAAGTATTTCAAGAACTTACAGTTTTAAATACATCTAATAATACTTTAAACCAGTGATGTTCAACCCTAAAAGTTGGTACTTCCTCAAAGAACTTCTTATCTATAGCTTGAGCTAATACCAAAACAGCATCATTAACTGTTTCAGTATTATCACTTCTTGTCATATCGTTTAATTCTATCGTCAAAGAATCCCAAAATCCTAAACCCAACATCACAGCCAAAATGTAAGAGACCATTATTTTTATGTTTGAATGAGTAATGCTTAAATGGTTTAACAGCATCTGGCATAGTTTTTTCCCATATTGTTTTTCATAAAGTCCTGGCCATTCTCGTTTATTTATTAATACATCTTCTAAATAATTTTTTAAGAACACTGCTGCAAGATGTCTTTCTGCAAGTGCTTCATCATTGCTTCCAACTATTTGACACAAAACAACAGGGTATTCTAAAAAGAGATATCGATATAAGTAGGTTTCTAAGCATATAAAATGTTCAGAAAGTTCTATTGGTTGTTAAGTAAGAGAAAACATCCGTACCATCTACAACTTCCAGCTTTTTAATACATTCAGCATTAATTCTTTGGAGATCACTGTCTGATTGTAGTGCACAACTAAGGGCACATGTAACTGCATCATAAATAGGTGATCTATCCTCGGAGACAGGCGGAGGGGCCATCTAAAATACATACCGGCGGAAAAATAATAAGACTCATAACCACAAAACACGATTTTGCTTACTTCACCTTTCGATAATAATACACTATAAAACGATTAGTATTTATCACATACAATGAAGAATACTGTTCAATTCAAAAATATAACACAACTGTTCAATGTTTTATGCTAAAATCTAATTCGTTTTGCAGTTTTGAAGTCAATCTGTCCCATATTTGTCCAAACTTGTCAAAACCATAGGTCAAAGGTCAAAACCAGTCAAAACGTGTTTGGTTATCTATGGTCAAAACGTCGGTTTCTTGCAGTTTCTTTAAGCCCCGTTCTCAGAATAACGTCGTGTCGCTCACCGAAAGCCTTCATTGTCGTCTGGAGAACTAATTTCCAATTGACAGGTTGACATGATAAGGACATGATGGCTTAATTTTCACTTCCGTTTCCGGTTATTTAATGGCGGGCCCTCTTTCAGTTCAAATGTATTTTGTATTTTTTCTTTTCATAAATAAAACCAAAAAATAATTTATTCACATATATTTATTTGAAGTATGGAACAACGTGACTAAATAAACATAAAAATATAGAGGATTGTATTGTTTCAATACCAATTAGTTAATTATATGTACTTTTAACGTAAATTAGTTAAGGTATAAGCATGACTTACAGTAATTTGTAAATAAACACACGTATTCGCAGACTTCAAGGACAGAAAACGGACACAGGGACATGAAAACGGGAGCCTTATACAAAAACCTGAAAACAGAAAAACAAATTTTTTTATACTAAAATTAACAATCTAAAAATATCAATAGGTATAAAATATAAATATACTGTTTAAAAAAGCGTCCATTATTCCCAAAGAGACCTGGCTTATAAATCAAAAAGAAGCAAAAAGAGACTTTTAGTCGGATAACATAATCAGATTATCAGTCCGATTTATTGCATTATTGACAATAAATCGCACATATTGGAGATAAATGATGTTGGCTATAGTTAAAAATGATCTTACCTTGCTGTAAATTGTTTCCATTTTCAAAAAAATCGCCGATCAAAGAGATTATAACACCATTTTCTTGCATCTAAAAAATGTAAAAACAGTGTTTATTTACTACCTATTTTTCATATACATGGGACATACCTACTACGGCAGAAACGTCATTTTCTCCAGGATTCTTCATGTAATATATATTTTATATACTTTATTACCTTTATAATTATAAATTTCAGCCGAAATATTAAATTGAACTTCCAAAACGAAACTAAACGGAATGAATTAAAATGGCGTCGAATATTTTCGACACAATTTTCGAATTTGTTCTAGAACAAATCTGAAGTTGTCTCTGAAACTGAAATCTGTCAATTCTAAACTGTGAAGTTAGACAATAGTTAGACAGAAACATTGCTGTCCTTGTCTCGGCGGCCATACTTGTCGTGAGGAGAATGACAGGAATGACACTAATGACTGTTTCCAATTTTCCTATTTCACTGTCACCCCCCTGGTCAAAACCAGTCAAAACGTGTTTGGTTATCTATGGTCAAAACGTCGGTTTCTTGCAGTTTCTTTAAGCCCCGTTCTCAGAATAACGTCGTGTCGCTAGCGACACAGTTTGACATTTCAAACAACCAATGGGAGCTGTACTAAATTTAAAATTGACAGCTGTTTAAATTTTGTACAAATATGATTGGTTCTTTTGTCGTCTGTCAATTTTAAATTTAATTTTAGCTCCCATTGGTCGTGTTGTGTCATAAAAAATAGTGTCGAATATAATCCAAAAATTGTTTACTGCGTACTTCATAGTGAAGTGTCAATCAATTGTCGCTGTCGACACGAAACGCAGTTCTGAGAACGGAATGTCAAAGCCCGTTCTTCAGAACTAGACTATCTCAGTGACACGACAAAAGAACCAATGAGATTTGTACTAAATTTAAAATTGACAGCTGTTTGAATTTTGTCCAAATCTGATTGGTTCTTTTGTCGTGTCGCTGGCGACAGTCGCAGTTCTGAGAACGGGGCTTTAAGCCCCGTTCTCAGAACAACGTCGTGTCGCGGGCGACAGAGTTTGACATTTCAAACAACCAATGGGAGCTGTACTAAATTTAAAATTGACAGCTGTTTGAATTTTGTACAAATCTGATTGGTTCTTTTGTCGTGTCGCTGGCGACAGTCGCAGTTCTGAGAACGGGGCTTTAGGGATGACTACTCTGTCAAAGTCAAAACCCTGATCCATAGACCCTTGATAGACCCTGACGCTGACAGGACTACAACAACTCTAATGACATAGATCGCGTTCATCAGGACGTAGCGCTACCGCAGCGATCACTAATTTTCTGCTGAACGCGCCGATTAGTTGTGAGCGCTCTGGGATCAGTCGCCATTTTTTCCATCAGATTTAAAATACGTTACGCTACCGATGCATGATGGATTAAACGTCACATACGCCAAATGCCACAAAATGTTTTGGAAAACGAAAACAAAGCATTTTGTTTATTGTTCTCGGTTGACTAGTCCCCTCGATTTGTGCCAAAAATGGGTGAAAACAATTTAATATGCATTACTTATGATTTTGATCTAAAAAGCACGTTCAGCAGGACAACCAATCGATGGTACATCGCTCACTGATCAACTTGTCCTGATGAACGCGACCATAGACAATATAGACATACGACATTTTTAAAATGGCGCATATGCCGCGCTGAACGAGCGGCTAATTCACAAGATGCATTCCATTTCCTATTGGTCGAGATATTTTGAGGTTAGGGTTATAATAGGGTTGTTATTTATTTTCGATTTCGGTGTTATTTTATATTTTGTGTTTGAATTTGAAATTAACAGACTATTACCTTAAATTAACGTCTATCTAAAAAAATCATAACATCGTTCTTCTCGGTAAAACCTTGCATCCAAATAGGTAGGCTTAAGAAGAAATCAGAAGAATATTTTCGTCAAAATGAGTAAATAATTAGGTGCAAGGTAAGTATGATAATAATTAGGTAGATACAAACAATGATCTTGTTTAAATGGTATGGTATTATAGCTAGGTCATATACCAAAGTCCCATAAAGGCTAGCAAACTATGGACAAGACCACAACACATTTAAAATCAAAACAATTGACGTAGGTAAAATGGGTTTGGAAAAGGGAACCACGGGGAGGGGCTCTACAGGGAATAGGCATCACAGGGAAGAGGCATTACGAGGAAAAAAACTACTGACTACTAGGACTAGGATTATTCAGGCTAAGATGGAGAGACAATAAATGGTATGAATATGAATAAATAAGATGAAGTAAATACTTTAAATCAATTTTCTTAAGAACTCATACAATTTATAAAGAAATACATACTTCTCTTTATTTATAGCACCCATTGTCAACAAGGACTTACAGTTATTGGGAATGGAAGGAGTTTGTTTATGACAGCTCTAGGTGGAAGCAAAAAGTTGATGCAACCAAGAGTATAAGTCCCATCATGGGTTTCAGTGCTACGGAGTAGGTAAGTATAGCCAATGTCAAGTTAGTGTAAATAGTAATTTTGCTCTTTATTTTCCTTGTAGGTACCTCTATTTTATTGGTTCGTAGAACATTTTGGAAGTCAACATGCAAGAATTGTATAGTATTTATTACTTTTTAGTTCTTACACCTTGATTAACTTAGTGCCTACACTAGATATTTGAAATGATATATTTAATTCATAAAATTAAATATAAATTTAAATATGAAAATTAAATAGGTTTTTAATTTGCCCAAATTAAAACTACATTATAAACATTGTAAGGGTGTTTTATTTATTCAGAAATATACTAAAACAATATTATAATTTTTTATTAATTCTTAAAATAACTATGATCTTCAGAATCCGAATGTGAAACATATAAACCTGAAAAACCACTTTTTAAATCGCTGTTTATATCCATTATTTCAGTATCGTTTGGTTTTTTTACACTGGCTTTTCGGATTTTCTTTTTTCTTTGTGTTGAATAGAAATTTTTTTGCTTAGTTATTTTTTTATTGGCTGGCTCAGATTGTGTGTTAATGGGAATAAATGAGGTAGTCGGAATATCAGAAGACAAGTCTAATAATTTATTTATAACATCCAAGTGATTCTCAATTTGAAACATCTTGGTTTCTTCAAATCCATTTTTATTCATATCAAACTTACCATTTATTAGAGCTATTTTCCTTGAAATCCTTTCTTTTAAGGCATCCATTTTATTTTGAGAGCACTTAACTAAGTCAACGTTTTCCTGCTTATTGTTAGCTTCTGTGTTTTGTTTTAAACCGTAATATTTCATTTCAATGTAATGAATATGCTTACATATTGAGCTACCGGTAATAAAGTCGTTACATGTACAAGAATATGTATGGTAGCATATATTACACACATTACACATTAAATCGCAACAAGACACATTTCTTTTCTTAGTTACACAATAAACTTCTTTTGATTCGGACATGGACATTTTTGAAATGTTTGTTTAAATTAAATTGAGTGGAAAAGTTTTTTTCACACTCAAAACACATCACTCCCATTTTAAACACTATGGAATATCACCAGAAACTGAAAATAATAATTCTATGAACAAATTAAAAAATATAAAGTAAGTAGTGAAATTTTTACCTTCATTCAAACCGTAAACAAAGCGGAGAGAGCGTCAGATTAGTATTCACAGTTAGTATTTAAAAATTAACAAAACCAAACCGTTGATCAAACAATAAACAGTACCCTAACCCTAACCTCAAAATATCTCGACCAATAGGAAATGGAATGCATCTTGTGAATTAGCCGCTCGTCGCGCTGACCGCGCCGCATGCCGCCCATAATTTTATTTTGCATGACAGAGGCCCGATTCTGTAAACATTTCTCCTGTCTAGTGACTCATCATTCGTATACAAATAGCATAGGCTAAACAAGAAATTTCTTGCTACGGAGCTTACAGAATCCCACTGCAGTTTGACTAGTGTGTTCTGTGAGTTTGACTGAGTTTGACCAGAGTTTGACGTTCAGTGGCGAAAATTTGATAGTAGTCGATGGTCGAGGCTCTTGCGAATAAAAATTGACTGTCTATCGACACAAAGTTGCACGAAGGAGTTTTGGTTGCTTTGCTTAACCTTTCTTTGCATATTTTGGTTGTGAATCTTTTGTTTTTTTACATTTTTTTTTACTTATAAAATCGATTTTGGATGTCTTTTTTAGTGAGTTGTAGGCAACCAACGATACATGTGACGTCAAATTGTCATGCAAAATAAAAATATGCGCATGCCGCATACACTGGCCGTATATACGTACTTGCCTCATGCTTGCCTCTGGTAATACTACTACCAAACTACTACTTATGTTTTCCATTAGAGTTAACATAGTTTTTTTGGCTGTATAAGGTTATTTGAAACCAAGATTTGAAACAGGAAAACATGGATGTGTATTTAGAAATCTACCGTATGATCGAAAAAAAAACGGCGTCTAGTTGGCTGGGAAATGACGATCGATGACCTTTCCCATATAAAATGACAGCGATCTTCATTTTTTCGCCGCCGTTTTTTTTTCGATCATACGGTATTTTTACCTAAGGCCTGTAAGTAGTGTAGGAACAAAAAATGTAAAAAATATAAGTAAGAATAAATTACATTTTCCTTGATTCTCAACCTACGTTTTCGATTGTTTTGTCCTAAATTTCTGTTTCTATGAAAATAAAGAATGTAACAACAATATAATGAGCAAATATGAAATAAGGTAATATGTTTTAAATAATCCAATGGCATTCAAAAATAATGTGCTTTTTGAGAAATGAAGGTCTATTTATAAATCATGAATCTGTATAAAAAATATTTTGAAGGCCTTTAATATGGAATTACAACCAATTTAAATGATTTTCTTAACACGATGAAACTGTGTTAAATCACTTTCAACAAGAATTAAAAAAAACACACAAAAGACAATATGAGCCTAAGTTAATGCTAAGATAGAGAGATAATTTATTTTATAAGAGTTAATCTAAAAAAATTGTAATACATAATCACCATGACGAAGCAAAATGAAAATATTTTTCAACTATTTTGTTGCACCTGATAAAAAACATTATTCGTAGAATGTTTTCTGAAATCTAATTCTATCATGAATCAACTTTAGATTCTAAGTTCAAGGTAGCAGACATTATAATTTAATTAATAAATAGGCGACCTTGTATGTCATATAATCAATAAGGGTGTCTACAGGTGGCATATCTAATAAGAGAAGTTAGCAAGTAGTATTGTCATAGTTTTGATAAATTCCAATAATTTACCATTGTCGTTAATACTTTTAAATCAATAATAATAATAATAATAGAAACGGAAACAACCGATTTTAAACGAGTTTCTCGAGATTCACGCTGCAACAAAAATACGGCGTATACGACATAGCGGTAAATTCAGTTCTTCCTGTGAGTTCTTCGCATCACCTTCGTTGGTAAAAACCGTCAACTCGACACACACCATGGGTTTCTGTAATGCAGTATGCACTTCTGTTGCAAGATTAGATGGCAAAACCGCAGTAATTACCGGTTGTAACACTGGCATTGGTAAAGTAACCGCCAGAGATTTTTTTCAAAGAGGTAAGACCCCAAAATATATTCGCAACTTTTAACAAAAAACTTTTCTACAAATTTGCTATCAAATAAAATATTCAATTCAATATTCAAATATTCAAACTTATATATATATATATATATATATATATACATACTATATCTATATATATAAAGTTATAATATATATATATATATATATATATATATATATATATATATATATATATATATATATATATATATATATATATATATATATATATATATATATATATATATATATATATATATATATATATATATGCCATTTTTACATACTATATCTATAGGTGCTAAAGTTATAATGGCATGTAGAAATGAAGACAAGGCCAAGGAGACAGCTGAAGATATCAAGGTCTCCTGCAAGGACAAAGAGAATCTTGGAGAAATTGTGATTGAAAAGCTCGACTTGAATAGCCTGAAGTCTGTACGAAGTTGCGCGCAAAGGATCATAGAAAAAGAGGCTAAAATTGACCTTTTGGTGAACAACGCAGGTGTCATGATGTGTCCTGAAGGGAAAACGGAAGACGGGTTCGAAACACAATTTGGAACAAATCATTTGGGCCACTTCCTCCTCACGTTGCTGCTGTTGCCGAAAGTCAAGCAAAGCGAATCGGCCAGAATTGTGACCGTTTCATCTATGGCACACGAAAGTAATTGTTTTTAATTGCTTCCTGTATCTGTGAATAATTAAAAGCTTATTAAGTTATTTATGTAAAACTACGTCGAAAGGTGAAGCGGTTCTGCGCATTCCCTATATATTTTGGTTTTTTTTTCTAGGGGGCAAAATCGATTTTGATGACTTGAATTTTGAGAACAAATCCTACAGCTCAACAGCGGCGTACTGCCAGAGCAAGCTTGCCAATGTACTGTTCACAAAGGAACTCGATCGTAAATTAAAAGGTAGAGAATATTGGTAAAGCGCTTTCCACACACAACGACTTATCGTATGATGTTTTTGCATCGACAAAACGTTGCTGAAAAAATTCAAACATTTTTTTTTCAGAATCAAATGTCAACAATATCAATGTTTACTCGCTTCATCCTGGAGTGATTAAGACTGAACTAGGCCGTCATCTTTCCACTCCCATCCGTCTTTTGTTTGGACTGTTTAGCTGGACTATCAAAACGCCAGAACAAGGTGCTCAAACTTCCATCTACTGTTCCGTAGATGAGAAATGTGCCAACGAATCTGGCCTGTACTATTCAGAATGTGCGGTGAAGACACCAGCAAAAGCTGCGCTCAACGAGGAGGATGCCAAAAGGCTTTGGAACGAAAGTCTGAAATTGGTTGGATTGTCTGAAGATTATAACCCCCTCCTTGCAAATTAATTTCGATCTGTTTGAACAGTGAGATATCAATTTATAAATTCAACCACACTTGGGCATAACACGTTTTAATTTTATAGTATTTATATAAAATATTTTTTATATTATTTATATACAAAATATTGAATTTCTTCAATATTATATCTCGGTGGAGTCATCTAAGACAATTTTTTTCTAATGTCTCATTTTTTAAGGTTCTGGGTTTAAAAAACCCTTAAACTAGATAGATCACTTAATATTACTTCACAATGATTATATAAGATGGGTGTAAAATAAAACTATATTTCTACTATTAATTGTTTTTTTTTAATTCAGATATAAAAAAAATATGTACAAGAATACGAATAATATTTGGCATAATATAGTAAGCATCATCTTAATGTTTTTTGGTTTAGTTAGTAGAGATGTGTATCTACTTTTTTGGCAAACATTTCACTATTATTAATTCAGTCTTGATTATACATGTTTCTTATCTTTCTTTTTGGTCAACGCAGGAATGTTAAATTATCAAAACTAATTTATTTGACTTAGAATAATTAAGCACGCTACAAAAAAAAATCGAACTCGTCTAATATCTTTCGTAAGGACACTTAAAAACTAAATAAACGATTTGTATGTATGGCACAAGTCGTGTCAGTCACCGATAAAACAAGAACTATTCAGGCATATTCATTTGATTTTGTTACACATCTGCATTGCTGCTGCTGTCTTTGGGTCTGTAACTCACGCTCTGATTTTTATCCTGTCTGGATCTCATCGAATTGTTTGAATGTTTAGATTCGGAAAAATCCACACTGGATCTTACCATCCCGAGTAACTTTTTGTAGGCAGATCGGTACTGCCTGTTACTGGCGGCGTAAATGAAGGGATTTATAACGCTAGAAGCCCAAGCTAGTACTGAGGCTAGTACGTGGAATACAGGGTACTGAATACTGTCGTCGAATACGTTTACTAACATTAAAGGCAAAAAACAGAACAAGAAACATAGGAAAATGAGCGCCATCAGCTTCGTTAATCTGCTGTCATCTTTCTCTCTTCGAGATGTCCGTGCGTCTGTCATAGGCCTGAAAGAAATAACGAAAATAATTATGATGCGAAAATTAAATTAATTATAAAATATAGTAGGGGAGCCTAAGCGGAGATTTTGGGATTTACACAAACGCGGCAGAATAACATAAAGCGCAGTCCAGACGCAACGATTTATCATACGATTTGCTTGCGTCGACAGAACGTTGCAGATAAAACGTAACGCGTTGGCAGCAAGTGCGAAGAAATTTTGGAACTGCAACTCGGAAGACAGTTAAAAAGTTTGCGCTTCTGGGCATAGATTTCGGCGGTTTGCACAGACAAGTCTTCGCGTGTTCGACGCCTCCCCCCGCTAGTAAATGAGCATACATCATATAATAGAGCTGAGTAAAACTGCGATTCTCCAACAGCAATTGAAACTGTGATTGCGATTTTAATATTTACCAAACCAAATTATTCGTAAAAAATGCTTTTTCTAAATATACCAATGAGCCGCCCTCTTTACATTTGAAAAAATTGAGATATGATTAAAAATACGATTTGGGCATCTTTTAACTGGCCAGGAGAAGACGCAAAAACAATAGACAATCAAATCTATTTTTCCAAGGCATCTTGATTAAAAATTAGTGTTTTTAACACAACCATGACATTCTATCAAATAAAGTAAAAAAATACGGAGGATGCCATTTAAAACTCAAAAGTTGTAGTCATTTCCGGTGAAACAGGAAGTGGCCAAAAACAATTGAATACGTCAATCAATCCTAACTTATGTCATATATTAACATACCAAATCTCGTTTTTTTATCAGAAAAAATAAAAAAGTTATAGGGGTGAACCACATCTGGACAAACACCCGGTATATTATGATCGTGGCACTCGAAAATAATACCTTCTCTATAAATGAATAATATCAGAGAAAAAATTCAATCGCAGTTCTATAAAATGTTTCAATAGACCACAAAATTACATTCGCAACAATATCGCATATCCTAACAATCGCAGATATAGTAATACTGGTTGCCTAAATTGAAACTCGCAAATAGAAAAAATCATGAAAAAATCGTAATCGCAGTTTTCTATGAGAGCCAATCGCGGGTTGCGATTGCAATTTTAAAATCGCTTTGATTGACTCGCAGTTTGCGATTTTTGCTCATCTCTATCTATAACCTTTTTTTCAGCATCTACTTTTCACGATACAGTAGGTCCCCATGACGGTCAAGTAAATCACCATTAGCATCCTGGGCTCTCTTGCTACTATTATATTTCATATTAAAAGCATAAGCTATTTGGGTGGGCTTGTATTAATAGAAGCGATAATATAGTACTTCTCCAAATAAGTAAAGTAGTCTTTTATGGCATAAAGAATTGTTTAGTAAACTAATTAGATATTTAATCGACCTACACTCTGAATTACACTTACTGGTGGGACCTGAGTTTGATTTTGGAGCTTCTTACGCTGCAGTAGATACAGGAGTAAGCCAAAATAATGATGATGCAGGGAAGGGCAAATCCAATCAAAAAAATTACTTTCTTCGGAGACTTTCCGTCTTTTTCTAGGATGGTGCAAGAAAAAGTGGAAGGATCCAAACCCAGCTGACCCCAAATTCCTAGTAGAGGCGGCAACTAAAAGTTTAAAAATAACTTATAACAATTTAAAAAATATTAAAATAATTGTGATACCAGTTTAATTATTTAAATTAGAACGCACACAAATAAAGTAAATACAGGGTGGTCCGAACTGTATTCCGGAAACTTCGGCAGCATATTCTACACATTAAAATAAGTAAAAAAGTTCGTATAAATATATGTCCTAAAATGCTTAGTTTCGGAGATACAGGGTGTAGAAGTTTCATTTTTATTTCGATTTTTTCCAAATAATTTCTGAAGTGACGTCAATATTTGGATGAAAATTGCTGTCTGGGAGTTTTTTGACATGAGAAATTTGATTTTGATGTCAATATGACTCTAACTACTAATAGAGGGTGCCACCTACATGTGTGTTAACTGTCACTGAAATAATAAATTTGGGAAATTTTAATTTTTTTTTAATTAATGATAAATTTTTCTGCAAAAAATGATGATAAAACAGTTTCTATTGAACTTTTGGCACAAAAACGTTTCAAATTTATGATTTTAGTCTAATAACTGTTTAGTTAACATGTTTAATTTATGTCAATGATGACAGGTATTGATAATTTCGATTCCAAATATCTCGAAAATCATTACTCGTAGCGATTTTTTCCAAGAGACCTTTTTCACGTAAAAAACGTCGTAAATGTATATTTTTTTACTCAGTAGTTTTATACAGGTACGGACGAAAAGTTATTACTCTTACTCATAGGGCTCGAACTCACTGACGACCAGGTCGCAACGACCTGGCCGTCCGTAGGCTGGCCGGATGCATTGCGTTTTTAGCTGCGGCCAGATGAACGAATTAAAATATCCGAGTTAACTAAAAAGCGAAGTTGCTATTCACAACAAACAAAAAGCATTGTGTACGCGCGACCGACAAAAAGGGAGATATTCTGTTTCTTTTTTCTACTGATATGGCGCCCTTATCGACTTTAGAAGTAAACATATTAGGGCCATCGTAAAAAAAGATCGTCAGAGACTGGCTCTAAATATAATCAGATAGAAAGTTTAGCTTTCAGTTCTTTCAATGTTTACAATATAACGAAGAATCTACAACAGTAATTACTTCTATTTTTATGAATGTTTAAGTTACTTTCTTAAATTTTTTTTCAAAATAATGTACCTAGTAGAAATATAGTCTAATGAACCCTGTTTGAAAAACGTTAAATTAAATATAATATTTAAAATACAGTTGTCCTCCTTGTACATGACTACAATACAACTAAAAAAACTAATTTAATAAAAAAAACAAGTGGTTGTAGAGAAACTTTAAATATTATTATTTTTATTTTTTAACATCGAAACTCAAAGGTATAATAACAGGTATCATACCAACCATATATAGAGTAGGTATGTCATATAAAAATGTTTTGAGTTTTTACTAGAATCGACCCTTGATAAAAAAAAGGATTAGATTTAAGTTTACCTTTGATCCAGACTGTATACTATTTCTTTGGATTTTCTGCACGTGTGCAAACACTACACTAACACATTATACCTTATAGAAAATAACATATTGTGCCTTGAATTTGAGGGATTTCATCTGAAAAATTATTAATTTGGAAGAAAACCGGCAACAAGCGGCAGAAAATAATAACATTTCCGTGCAGTCTTCTGGTCGCAACGACCAACGGACGGCCAGGACGTTAGTGTGCGCTATATCATTTGATTTAATGGTTTTAGAGGTAGCTGCGGCCAGGCCGGTGCGACCTGGTCGTCAGTGTGTTCGAGCACAGTGTTCGAGCCCTTACTCTTACCCTTCTCTTACTCTCTACCAGTTAACAAATATGTAGGTGGCGCCCTCTACAAGTAGGAGTCATATTGACATCAAAATCAAAAATTCTCATGCCAAAAAAGTCCCAGACGCCAATTTTCATCAAAATATTGATGTTACTCCAGAAATTATTTGGAAAAAATTAAAATAAAAATGCAACTTCTACACCCTGTATCTCCGAAACTAAGCATTTTAGGACATACATTTATACAAATTTTTTTACTTATTTTTATCTGCAGAATATGCTGCCGAAGTTTCCGGAATACAGTTCGGACCACCCTGTATATTACTTATTTTAAATTACTATTTTGATGAAATTTTATATGTATCAGTAGGTCTGAGATTCTATTCAATCGGTTGATATCTATTTTTTATACGCTTAAATGATAAGGGTGGTCCACCTCAACTTTTTTTATATTTTTTGGACAAAATTTTTAATTTTAATTTCTTTTTTGTGATATGGCATTAAAAATACATACAACCTTAGGTTTTCATCCTTTTACCATCAACCCTTATCTTTTAATAGCGATATTAGTAATTCCATAATTTTCAACCCCGTGAATAAAAATGAGTGTTCCATAAAAAATAAGGTGTCACTCGTAAGGCCACAATGGTTTATGTATATCTTTGAAATCTACGCCTTTTAATGCAAATAATATTTATTTTACCAAAATTGATGAGTATATACAAGGAAAAAAATTAAAAGTTGACCAGATTTCACTATTTCTTCAGATTTTCCTGGTTCTTGGAAAAATAATAAACATGTTATTTCTTTGAGGCTCTGACAAAAATTCTAGAAAAGGTCATAAAAAATTGAAATTTACAGTATTTGTAGAAAATTGAATGTACTTCTAGAATATGTAAACAACCGAAGGCTCAATCACTTTGGTTTTGCGAAATTTTATAAACCCTTGTTTCTAAATAATATTTCGTGAAAAATGGCCATCTGATTATTGATATATTTATGTTATACAGGGCGTTTCAAAAAACATGTTCCATCTCTCGTAGGTAGATTCCTCACGTAAAAATAAGATCCGATTCTGTTTTGTATCGCAGTTACAGGTGGTTAAATCCTTTATTTATTTTCCATTTATTATAATTTTCCTCCAAGTGCTTTTAGCGATTCGAATGAAATTTCGCGGGTAAAAGTTACTATAAATGCTGCAGATTTTAATGTTACAATAGTGTCGACAGATTTACCAGGGACGTGCATCTGGGTTATCACTGGAATATTTTTCTAAAAATAACATTTGCTTCACTAACTTTTCTTCCTTTTGTTTGGAAAATTGTGTAGGCCTTTTTATAACGAATAAAAGTTGGATCATATTTTGTCCATTTCGATTTCCTTGATGAGATAAACGCAATTTTATTAATCAAAATTAATAATATTAAAATAAAAATAAAAATAATTTAATCTAATATTAAATTTTATTAAAATTTATAACACACTAATGTAACAGTGTGTAACAATGTTATTTAAAAGTTTTAACATGTAAATGTAACTTTAAAGCTATGCATTTCCGGACCTATGTTTACAGGAACCTTTTTTCATATTTTTTTTATGAAGAATCAGTGAGTGTTTAACATCTTGGGTAATTAATGATATTAAAAAAAAGGTTGCTATTACACTAGTTGGAATAACGCAAATTAATTAAATTGCTTTTATATGATCCAGGAGACCAAAATCGACAAAATATCAAGAGACAACTTTTAATCAGCATTTAGCGGTAGCGGTATATTTAATTTTGCTAAGAGAAAGAAAAGTCAGTGGCGCACATATTTTTTTTAAAAAGCAGAGATTCCAGTGATAACCCATATACACGTCCCTGATGAATATATTGACTTTTTTAGCACTAAAATATGTCGCACTATTAGTAACTTTCATCCTCAAAATTTCATTCTAATCGCTAAAAGCACTCGAAAGAGAATTATAAAAAATTGAATAAAATGAAGACTTTAACCCCCTTAAACTACAAAGCAGAATCGGACCTATGTTGATTTGAAAAAATAAATCTTATTTTTACGAGGGAAATCTTCCCACGAGAGATAGCACATTTTTTTGAAACACGCTGTATAGATACCGTCACCTTGAACACACGGTATATAAAGCTGTTTCGTATCAAATGGTATGAAATTAGAGAGCCATACGAGCGTAAGGATCAACCGAAGGAATTAAAGCTCCCTCCTATTGAAAACATCGCGACCGATGACAAACAAACTTGGGGTGAACTAACTGCATCCATCCCCTATAATAGATCGATGGATCGAATAAGGCAAATAAAAGAAAATGGCTTACCATTATCAGGAAGGCTATGCCCCAGGTACAAAGCAGCTGCATACATATGGATATTTTCGAGTATAGTTTGCTGTAGTATTCGTAGCACGAGATCAAAACGTACCTAAGATAAACAAATAAGCGGCTGTAAATCTTTTAAGTCGGTCACATGTCGGTTAGAAGGGTAATTTTAGTTGATCTAACGATCTTTAGGTGCATAATGCAAGACCAATGTAACTATTTTTCCTTGCTACAAACAGCAATGTCTACGTTGTGATCAATTAAAACAGCTATAAAGCTCAGAACAGAGCCTAACAAAAGCTTTTATGAACCTGTCCAAGTAATGATGTTTCATTATTAAAACACACAAAAATAAATACATTGTATGACCAATAATTGCACGTACTTTGACAATTATTGTCTTGGATTTAATTTGTAATATTAGTCAATTTCTCACGCATTATTTATCCGAAAAAATAACAGGCTTTATTAAAATATCTTATATCAAAATGATTCACACAGAGTTAAAGCCACTAACATGTTGTTCTTCTCGGTTTAGATATATGATTCACTTAACTATTTAACTTTTGACACATGGCCTATGATCTTGACTAATTGAAGAACAACTTGTAGGAAAAATTTTATATCATTTTTTTCAGTTAAAAACAAGATAAAACTATCTAATTCGATGTGGAGTTTTTACAAGATTAATAAAGCATGAATTGAAATCAAAATGAAATTCATAGAAAGTCTTTTAATTATGTTCTTTTTGACATATTATTATGAATATAAGAAAAAAAAATGAAAAAATTGTCCATGGTCCAGAAAATTAATTAATTTTAACAAACTCAACGGTAGTAGACGTATCTGCTAAAAAAACTAAAGTGTTCTTGAATAGTTTTATTTAGATATTTTAAATAGCTTTTCCTTGTTATTTGCGTTTTTGTTTGTTACCGACGCGACGACGGGAGAAGACATACATCCTGAAACGTTGCTTTTTTGTCCGATAGGCATATAATATTATGTTTTATAAGAAAAATATCACTGACAAAATTGGCCTCCGATCAACGCAGCGGCGTTCACAAAAAATTATATTTTGTAGATTTTCTTCTAGTGGCGAAAAACCGAGAAGTTTTTTTATCAGTGATGGCAAACCTTTTGAGCTAGGTGCCAAAATTTTGAAAAATCGAAACATAATTTTTGTGGCGTGTCACACATCATAAAAGCAAATACTAAATAAACAGTAAAAAGTAATAATATTATTAATTAATAACAACTTTGGCCGTTATGAGACATAAAAATTTTAATTATCAAATTTATTATCTTTGAAGATGCGTGTTACCAAAAATAAGCTCGCGTGTCACAGGTTCGCCATCACTGATTTAGACATTATTAACAGTAGTTTTATCAAAATTGCTAATATGGACAAAATAGTCATTTTTATGAGTAGCTAATGTATGGAAGAAAGTCGAAAAAAACTGGTCATTTTTGGATGTTTTTTTAGGCATTTTAATAATTAAGATTTTCAGAATTTTTAAGAAATGTTATTAGCTTTTAGAATATGTAAACAATAAAATGTTCAATAACTTTGGTTTTAAGAGAAATTCGATTTTGTGAACTTTCGTTTCTAAGCAATTTTCGATGGCTAAAGTTTTGCCTACAGACCCAGTTACCCTTCTCTAACGGCTATGTTCATCATTTTTATTCAGTTTAAAACAAAACAAAGTTAATTCGACAAGCTTAGCATGATGTGTTTCTGACTAGTAAAACTAAAGCATAATTCGAGATGAGATTGATCGGGTTGGTTTAATTAAATTTAACTCCATAGTTGGGAATAAAAATAGTTGAAAGGCGATACAGGCACTGCCTTATCCATTAATAAGTCTCTTGACAGCTAAATAAGTAGCTGAAAGAACGAAGAATAATTAGAGAGATTTATTTTGTCCCAGATGAAAGAGCCAACCGATGAAAGTTTTTTTTGGGCTGCTCAAAACTGGAAAATCTGTTTTAGTCAGTACGGTAGACGGATATAACATAACGCCTGTGTTGTTCGATCGCCACGTCAATTTAATCCGAATGCATAAGGGCCAATGCCCTTAAATATTTTCGTGCAAGTGATTTTTCATAAGCATTTGATTCCGGCCTATTTATAAATAGCGTATAGTAACCGCTCTGAAATAAATTTATTGCACCTAACGGCTCGAGCCCGCGCATAGTTCTTACGTTATTATCTTTTTTTATATAAATAAAGTCTCATAAATAGGGTCAGAAGTCATATTAATGAAGCCTTATTTCTCAGCGCTCTAGTTATTTTTCATTAGGATTTTTTCAATGGCACAATACAAAGCTCAACAATGGAGTTGAAAATAAATTCTCTATCACTGAGAAATTCTTGTTTTCGATAAAAATCGACAAAAGAAATTAGCCTACTGCGATACTTTTTTTTCGATCGTATATGGCATATTCACCGAAAGAACTCTAGTGATCCAACTTATGTACGTAAGTTCAATTTATAAATATGAAAAATATCATTCTCGAAAGGCAGTTAAAAGAAAATAGTACTTGACTTGATTATGATAGACAGAGTTATAGCGTTTATAGGTAACTGTATCCAGAAACATATGCCTGAGTAACATTAAACTGACGTTCATATTGGACAGGCAACACGATTAAACTTGCGAGTAAATATAAATAAACATATTTTATCGTTTGTGCGCGTCATCCGATATATCGGAAACGATATAGAAATATAAAGTTGGATTACAAAAAGAAAAAGGATGTATGGTAAAAGTTATGTACGGTGGTAAAAGTACCTATTTAATGTGATGGCGACCATGTTCAAGACTGACACGGCAACGTTCCCATAAAAGAAAACGGGGAAAAGCTGACAAAGGGCGTCTCCTAGAATCCATTTCTCGTAAATGTATCTTGCGGCCGTTAGGGGCAAATTTATCGTGCAAAACAGCAGATCGGATATGCACAGAGACAGCACAAAAGCCGTAGTGGCATGGTTTCGAAGTTTCGGACATTTGATTAGTGCCAAAACAGTCACAAAATTACCTAAAATACAAAAATCAATCAGCGTATCATCCTTATTTTGCCAGTGGCGTGCGGTAAAGTTTAAAGCTGACTACATAAAAAACCTTATCATTGTTACATGGCTAATTTTTTGTGTAAAGTATCTTTTTGTGTAGCCATTGTGAAATAGTCATGTCTGCCAGCGGGGGCGGCCAATCGAAAGGGTGAAATTTTGACACTAAAAATACTATAAGGTACACGAGTTATAATTGCCAAATAGCTTTTATTTATTATTAGGAAACGTATACAATTGTTAAAAGATATTTTTCTCGTGGCTGAAATGCCGGCAGACAACGCGAAAGAGGAAAAAATAGAATTTTGACAAAAGAAAATCATCGCATACATGCATGTCGGTTGGTGGAATGTCATGTTTATTGTTAATTAATTTAAAAATCCGTATGCAAAAGGGCAGACAAAAATATCGTTATTGAAATAATAAAAAAATATATTTATAATATAATCGTATATTATATGATTTATCTATACTTAAATGTATGAGGCGGCCAGCGTTCCCTGAATAAAGCGCTAGAGTAATATCGCGCTTTTGATAACTGTCTGCAGCTGATTGAGCCACGGTCTTTTTGTCTGCTCTTTTGCATACGGCTTTTAAAATAAATAAATAAATATGACATATCACCAATCGGCATGCAAATATGGCATAATTTTTTTCATTCTTCAAATTTCATTTTTTAATAATTTTTAAAATATCATGCCTCTTTCGCGTTGTCTGTCGGCATTTTAGCGACTAGAAAAATGTCTGCCAACAATTCTTAATAATAAATAAAAGCTATTTTCGCAATTATAACTCATGTATCTTATAATATTTTTAGTGTCAAAATTTCACCCTTTCGATTGGCCGCCCCCGCTTTAAGCCACGGGATTGCGCTGGCAGACATGACTAATTCGTAATGGCTACACAAAAGGATACTTCACACACAAAATTAGCCATGTAACTATGATAAGGTTTTTTATGTAGCCAGCTCTTAGACTATTAGGAGGGGAAATAATAAAATAAAGACAAAAAAAGTCGATAGGAGATCCTAGAGTTTACAAAAAAATTAAGGGTGGAAGCAATTCAATTGAATTTAAATTTATATTTTGTTGGAAGAAGTTGCACCCATAATTAAAAAACAACACGCATTAATGCGTAACGCTAATTATTGTACTCGGGGGGCTTAAGCTAGAAAATACTCTTCTCTAATTAATTTTGTATTTTGTATTTCGTAACACCAGTTGAAGTTAAACCGTAGTAAACTGAGACAATGAAACTGAAATACTGATATAATTGACTTCACTCGTGTAAACGCACCTTTACAGATTTATATGTTAATGGTTTAAGAGTCGATTTACTTCTTAACTTAAGTTAACTTAGTCGTTACTTCTTAACTTAAGTTATTTAAAGAAATAGCAAGAAAAGTAAATTTTAGATCAATAAAGACCTTTTTAAAAAAAAGTAGTGCTTGTATTAAAAATAAATAAATAAATAAAAAACGCCTATACTGAAAGACTGCTCAATGTTTACAAATGATATGTGTTAAAAAAATTAGAATATTTCTTAAATTTACCTAATACAAAGCAAATATTTTCTTTATTCTAAAAATATAAATTAGGGAAATAAAATATTTCTTTCAAAAAATTGTGGGTGTTCAGAAAATTAAAAATAAGTCTGGCAGTTTTATACCAAACTATAATTTAGGTTTGCTGTATATTTATTAAAAAAAACTATGAAAAGATATTTTCCAAGACAAGAACGTGCTTGTATAAAAATAGAATAAACAACATTATTTACAAAAATATTTTTTTACTCTATTCAAAAAAAGATGTGAAGTGTGTGCGTGTTTTATACAAAGTAGATTGATATTCTAGGCAATGTTTTATGAACTGAAAATTTCAAAATAATATTTACTGTTGGTCTCTGCAGAGACTCGTAAAATGTAAAGATTTATGGCTCTTCGCGCGTTTCCGATTTTCATTATTTTCCTAGGTACTGTGCAGGAAATTTTAAAAATAAACTGAATATTTTATAAAAAAATGTATGGTTTATATTAAATTTTCTACTGGTCGTTTGGAAACTTACCTAAAACACCGAGTACACAAAATAAAACCGCACAAATTGCTGCAAAAATTGTCGCTTCTCTTGGATATCTTACGTATTTATAATCGTCATCATCCATGGCTCATTCGAGATCGACACTTTTTTATCAGAAAGACACATAATACATAAACAGAAAAGAAAAACGAAAACAATAATAAACAAGAGCGGAGAGCGGTTCAGGACATGTTCAGGACACGCATAAAACCTCGCTTTCGGTCATTTTGCGCGCCTCTGAGCGCCTGTATATTCACAAAGGCTCTCTACCATGTGCGCGATAATTTTGGTAGGGGAATACCCTATGTGCCATGCGCGTCTTTAGATTATTTTTGTTTCCGCGTTCAAACTGGCTTGTTCAAATTAAATTTTCCCTTGTCGCATCTATGTGTCACTGGTTATTTATTGTTTTAATAACATTTTTTATATAGATCTCGAATTAAAATAAATATACATACACACGAAACGCAAAAAAATGTAGAGACGTGATTTTAGAATAAAACTTATGATTATAAGTTCTAATTATAGAGAAGATTTTTATTGACGCCACGATTTTTTACATTAACACATTCTAACTTTTTTTTGGTTAATTTCTCAAATAAAAATATGGGGAAAACAATAATCTATAAGAATATAAATAGAATCAAATAGTAATTGCCGAGTAACATTAAATAATATAACTTTAATGTTTTAAGCGTGGTCTACACGCAACGGCTTGTACGATTTACTTGCGTCGACAAAACGTTGCAGATGAAACATACAGACCAAGTTGTGTCCACATAGCAACGACTTGTTCAGTCATTTGTATTCTGTCATAGAATAATCAAGGAGTAAACACTGTTGTTGTTAGTTTTAGTTTAGTTATTTGTTTAAATAAGTTAGTTAAAGCAAGTTAAACGTTTTAACAACGTCTCTAGTAGAATTTCTTGGGGTGTTTTGAATTTGATCGATCAGAAAATTAAGTAAATTAAAATATAGTTTCGAGATAATATGCAAAACTAATAAAAACTAAAATAACTGTTTTACAAAACGTTTAAAGCGTTATTTTACAAAGAAACGTGTCGATTGAGTGGAATCATTGTTTTGTATTTCGTTTTTATAGAAATAAAAATTAATATTTAATTTTTAAAGAGAAAAAACACAAAAATAATTCTAATAAGGCGGGTTTTGTTGCAGTATGATGCATATTACGGGTTTTGCTACAGCAAGATATTTGCATCTTACTTGGAATTTTTACGTATGCTATTTTATTAAAATTAGGCAAGGGTCTGAAATAGACGTCAGTAATAATATTATACAGGGTGTCTCAGATTTTAATCGGGAAAATTTAATAGACGATAGAACTTGCAAAAATAAAACAAAAAGTTCATATCAACTTGTAAGATTTAAAGCTTCCTTTTCGAGATACAGGGTGTTAAAGTTACTTAAAAAAGAAAAAAAATTTAAGACATTTGAAAAACTATTTAATCGATTTTGATATAACTTGACCCGTTTATAATACTTACTATGGGTCTTAATTTGATGTAATTAGATTTAAGTTTAATGGCCAGGGGCGGCGATGGGGCATCACTGTTAAATTATTTTAAAGGAAAAAATAGGCACGCCACTGCTTTTTTAGAAGTTTAATATCATTTTTGGATTTAGTAATTAAAAATATTATTTGTTTGTCTCCTGACTTTTTTGTCTATCTTGCTTACTTCTTGCGAGAAAAATTAAATTCATTTATTCACTCCACCCAGGACAATAAATTAAATAATAATGATGGTTAGTTACAAAAAATTACAATAATTGTTCGAATTGTTAACCACTAACATCAACGCATTGGTTTCTGGTATTGTTGCCGTCAACGTTATTTCATATTGTTTACATTATAAAAAAATCCATAAATACTCGGGAAAGATACTCGGCCCGATTATTTAATTTATTATCCAGGGTGGAATTAATAAATGAATTTAATTTTTTTCGCAAAAAGTAAGCAAGATAGACAAAAAAGTCAGGAGACAAAAAAATAATATTTTTAATTACTAAATCCAAAAATAATATTAAACTTCTGAAAGAGCAGTGGCGTGCCTATTTTTTCCTTTAAATTAATTTAACAGTGATGCCCCACGCCGCCCCTGACCATTAAACTTAAATCTAATTACATCAAATTAAGTCCCATAGTAAGTATTATAAACGGGTCAAGTTATATCAAAATCGATTAAATAGTTTTTCAAATATCTTAATTTTTTTTCTTTTTTAAGTAACTTTAACACTCTGTATCTCGAAAAGGAAGCTTTAAATCTTACAAGAACTTTTTGTTTTATTTTTGCAAGTTCTATCGTCTATTAAATTTTCCCGATTAAAATCTGAGACACCCTGTATAATGACAATAAAAAGTAAATACCGTATAATCGAAAAAAAACGGCGTCCAGTTGGCTTGGAAATAACGATTGATGACATTTCCCATATAATTTTACATATAAAATGACAGTGATGTTCATTTCATAGCCATCGCTGACGCCGTTTTTTTTTTCGATCATACGGTTAGTATAAGTGGATAAGACGGATTTTGCTGCAGTAACGTAATTTGTAGTGAATTTTATATAGGAACAGGCGACTTTTGCTGCAGTTTGGGACTATGTTTTGATGTAGATTTTAGAGTCCACTATTAATATATGTCATTAGACCATTTTTTAAAAGAATTGGTAAGGCGGGTTTTGCAATTCGACGCCTCAAATATATTTATCCCAGCTCCCTAACGAATATATTAACTAAGTTTCGATAAATCTTTTCTGTAAACACTTCTACGTGAATTGACTATTTTTGTTACTGTACTGGTCCATCGTCTACCTCTTTGAAGTTTTCTATTTTTCCACTCTGTCACTGTTCTTTTCATTTTACTCGCTCATAATCAAAGAAAACTCTTATATAGTTCAATGAACTCACTGAGAAACTCATGTGATCATTGCAGTAAGTTAGCCATTATTTGTATTGATTATATCGCAAATACCAACTGTCTAAAATAAAAATAAAACCACCAACAAATCGTTGTGAGTGTCTCGGTACTGTCGAAATCAGAAGTGTCTAGCCCCAGCAGGCAACTATTAAGCTTGACCAATCAGGTTGGTTAGCGTTGTTATTTGGAGCGTGTTAATTCATTGGTTTTTGTCAAAAACTCTAACGTGATTGGTCGGGTTTAATAGTTGGGTGCTGAGGCTAGACAAAAGTGTCGAAATCTATGTCCAGGAGCTCAAATTTTTAACACAGTCTTGGGAGTTTGTGCAGTTCTAAAATTTATATAAACTTGCCATCCAGACTGTAATATTGAAACGATATTAAAATGGTACAAATGAATAAAAATGCCATTCGTTTAAATTGTGTTTACTAATTAAAAATATTTATAATATATCTTTAATTATAATTTATTATGTACAACAATAAATCGAAAGAGAAATAATGAACAATGACTTTATCCCATAACAGATCTGTTTTGTTTAAATTTCCATTTTGTGCGCATGAACAATTAATTAAACGTTAACATAAAAATGTTTCTTTTATACAATTTAATATAATATATTATATTATGGTTTATATCGAACAAAAAATGAAAAGAAAAAGAAAAACGATTTTATTTATTTAGTAACTATTTTGACACAATCGATATCGTAAAATTATAATGACAGTTCCTAATTTTTCACACCCTGTACATTAATTGTTTTTATATATTTATATCGAATTGTAAAATACTATTTGATCTTTTGAAAATACTCGTATATTAAAAGGATGATTAAGATTTTAGGTTACTGCACTTTACACATCAATATGTAAATACGATTGGTTTAAATAAAAATGCATTTCGTAATACAGGAAAACGTGATTGGATAATTATTTGTTCTCGTTACTTTTAAGTACATTGAGGATAAATATATGTAGGTTCGTTTTTGATTTGATAGCGGCGTACTGTCGAATATAGAAACGCTCAATTTTCGCCCCCGCACAAAATATTTTCAAAAGAAAAAATACGTTTCATTTTATTTGGCCATTGGCGGATCGTTCTCGAGGAACAATCCATCGAAACAAAAAGTCCGGAGGTTACAAAACTACACATTAATAATAATTTTAGTCTTCCTTGGACCAGAAGAAATAATTAGGCACTTGGTAGAGTGGCGACTGGTTCTTGAATGGGGTGCTATAAATTTTGGCTGGGCATAGGGCATTCTATGGGGCTCGATTGTCCAGCCCTACTCCGCAGCTGTCGCTCCTGCTGAAGAAGCTGATGAGCAGCACGGTCCATTTCTTCCGGCGTCATGTCCAGAGCTTCCTGCATCTCTTTAGAGGTGTTTCGAACAAACTCCGGATCGCAGTATTTACCTGAAACACCTCTAATATCACTCTGTTCGTATCTATACATGGGACATCATGGAACAAACGTTACCTAGACCCTGTTCTGCTAAAATCCGGCCTACCAGGCTCTCCGCAGAACCGACAACTTCAAAGGATGCTGGCCTACGTTCTGCAGGGCTCCCGGGCAGCGAGTGAGTTAGCCTTTCGTTAGCTACGTGACCGTTGGGTTCACCAGGTTGTTGAGGAACTAGAAAAATAAGCGCTCTTAATATACATTTGCCAGTACGTAGTGGTTTAAGTTTAAATATCTACTTTAACCAGCAGAAGCTCGCTTAAGCTACACCTTGAAGCGAGTTAAGACATCTACCAGTAAACTTTGCCTTTTTTAATTGGATTAATAAGAAAATACTGGTTAGAAATAAGATTTTCTTACTTAAGAGGTTCTTACTTACTCGTTTTGAATACAAGACAAGTTTAAGTGGGTTTCGGTGCTTGACATAGGAAAAGCAAAAGCAGGAAATAGAAATCATGCTATAGGATTAAAAAAAATAATTCACAGAAATCTATGTCACACGCTTTCCTTAATAATACCGAAGTCTTATCTGGAAAGGGCCGGACAAACCTATCGAGTTTAAACCATTATTTTCAACAAAAAAAACATTAATCTCCCGAAATGTTTGCCACCCGTTTGAACAGGATATTTTTGTTAGTTTTCTTGGCACGCGATCCACGAAATAGGTCTGGACTTGTTGATTTCTGTGAATGTGGCCATGCACTGTACAGCAGGGGTAAATAATCAAAGATATGAAGGTAGAAAGAACATACTACTTTGAACTAATTCTGTTTTAACTTATTTAAAGGTCACACTATAACACATGCAAGAGATTGCTCTGAACGGACGTATAAAACTAGTACAAGAAGCTTTACTTGTAAGCCCAATTATTAACAAGTTTAGAAATTTGTCTGTCAAAGTGTTATGTGTTAATCTATTCTCCCCGCCTCATATCTTTGGGGAGAACACATCAAAATGGGGTACACCCAGATATCAACTTTAATAAAATATTCTATTTTGGTCATTTAATTTTAACACTTTTAATTAAAAAACAGGTTAATTTTAAAAACAGATAGCTATCAACTGTAACGCTTATAGAAATACTAGAAGATGGTGTATTTTTTTAGATATATTTTATAATAATTATTCATGATATTTTATTTCTAATATATTATAACTGATATGAGATTTATTTTTCAAAAATGTTATAGGTTTGGTGTTATCAGACGACTCATGTACTTGACAAACATTTGTAACTGGTATACAGGGTGCGTCGGGTATCTATATCTATACAAAATTTATAAGTTATTTATTATAGGATCTACGCTGCACTCTCGCCGGACCCTGTATGCCAATAAAAAATACTTGCCAAGTACACGAGTCGTCAGAGTCCGCCTTTATCCGATATCCCCAAATTGATCGTTTTTGGGACACAGGGTTGTCTAACCCTTAGACCATATATGTTAACTAGACAACCTCCTTAGCAATTTTTGCTTCGGTGTCAAAAACGGCGATAAAAGAGACAAAAATATTAGGTTTTAATTTTTTTTGCCCACAAGTAACATTATACCGTGATATTATGTTGACTACGTAGAGCGGCGAGGAAAGGTGGGCGTCTAGTTATTACATGGTCCAAGGTCTAGCTTCCGCCTTGGAACTTGGAACGAAGCTTAGACCATACTAATGCAAACTAGACACCCTCCTTGATAATCTTGCCTTCATTGCCGATCTGTCTAGACGTAGAAGACATTTTAGGTCTGAAAGACTACTTTGCTTACAGCAATGACTAAAGAATATAAGGACATGTAACGCCCCTATACGGGCTGCAGCAGAATGTGTGACCTTAGAGACATTTCTTTTGGTGGCAAACAATGAGCGTAAAAGCAGCAGCGATAAGAAAGAGCCAGGAGTTACGTTTCATATGTAAATAAACAGTCCGCTCCAACTTTTTAGCATTTTCTTATTGAATTCGATAATTATTCTTCAATTTCAATTAACATCTATATGTACTTGCAGGGCCGTTCCTGGCGAGGGTGCAGTGCGTGCACGCACGTAGGCGCAACATTTTGGGGGCGTAAAAAAATGTCAATCAGTACTTTGTAACAAAAAACCGATGCGCTTTCTTGTTAATAAACAAATACTTAAACATACATCATAGGATAAAGTTTGCTTAGCGTCTTTTTTGCGTTGGCCGCACCGAATAAACAAGTCTAGGGCAATCTGCCGGCAACACATTGATCTCATCTATTTATTTTTCATTTTATTCATTTTATGAAAAGCACTGTTCATTAAAATGTTGTATCCTATGTTATAGGGCTTGTTTCTCTCAACATTTCCTGTCTCACAATATACCGTTTGTGTCGGGGAAGGGATCACAGTTTCATAGTTGTCGATTTTACAGAACTCAGTGCATGTATATTATTTCGTATATTTTTCATTATATTGATTTTTTGGAAAGCACTGTTCATTAAAATGTTCTATCATATGTTATAGGGCTTGTTTCGCTCTACCATTTCCTGTCTCACAATATATCGTTTGTGTCGGGGAAGGGAACATAGTTTCATAGTTGTCGATTTTCGAAAGAAATCAGTACATGTATATTATTTCGTATATTTTTCATTTTATTGATTTTATGGAAAGCACTGTTTATTAAAATGTTGTATCCTACGTTATAGGGCTTGTTTCTCTCTACAATTTCCTGTCTCACAATATACCGTTTGTGTCGGGGAAGGGATCAAAGTTTCATAGTTGTCGATTTTCGACAGAAATCAGTGCATGTATATTATTTCGTATATTTTTCATTTTATTGATTTTTTGGAAAGCACTGTTCATATAAAATGGGTCAGTTTTTTTCTTTAGGGTACTATTTTTGTTACTAAATATTTTTGTGGTTTTTGTTTGTTTTCTTTATTTAATAAATGTTTTTATACTTTAATTAGAATAGTTTTTTTACATTTCCAATTACATATTGCTTGTTTGTCGCAGAATATAAATTCTTTAAATTTTTGAGATTAAGATTAAAATATATAATTGATTTAAATATAAAAAGGGCGCACCAAAGAATGCTGCACGTAGGCGCCAGATACCCCAGGAACGGGCCTGTGTACTTGATATGTGCTATACGTCGATACTAGTTTTGTACCTTTTGTTAACATTTTAATGCGTTTTTTTCGTAATTAATTAGGATGATACACCATAGGCGTAGTCAAAACAATTATCAAAAAATATAAATATTGCTTCAAACAGCTAGGTTAAGAAAAATATGTGCCACGGCACTGTTTGGTGACATCGGCACAATTTGCTCTCGGGCGTTATTTGTCCTTGGATTCTTTAGTCATTGGCTTAAAATGACAGAAAAATGCAATGACTAAAGAATACAAGGATATGTAACGCCCATATACGGGTTGCAGCAGAATTTGTGATCTTAGCCGCCATTTTTTTTAAATAAAGAATGAGTCATCAGTTGGTTATCAGCGATTTTTAACAGTTGGTTATGTGTAGTTATGTAGTAAACTTTGTATAAACTTTATTACGATGGTAATTTGTTCAGCGTTCAAGTGTAAAAGGCGCAATGATAAGAAAGAGCCAGGAGTTACGTTTTATAGGGAAATAAACAGTCCACTCCACCTTTTGAGCGTTTTTTTTAATGAATTCGATAATTATTTTTATGATATTATATGTACTTACATACTACTTACATACCATCGGATACACCATAGGCGTAGTGAAAACATTTATCAAAAATATAAATATCGCTTCAAACATCTATGTTAAGAAAAAAGTGTGCCACGGCACTGTTTGGAAGAATGGTCACAGTTTGGTCTCGGGTGTTATTTTTCCTTGTATTCTTTAGTCATTGGAAAAATGGTATTTTTGCCCCCGGGTATCGGGTATCGTTATATTATCGTGATTTTATGTTGGTTACATAGAGCGGTGGGTCCAGGTGTGTGTCTAGTTGGTCTAAGGTCTAAGTTCTGCCGCTGAAAGAAACTTAGACCCAGTGTTGCCAGAAATTTTCGAGCGAATTTCTTCAACGGACTCTTAAGAAACCTTCATATTCCTTCAACATCACAAAAAATTCCAGATCTTGTGAAAAATCTCCAAATTTCCTGTTTTACCTATTTTATAATTAGACAAAAATTTTATAAACTTATTTCTGGTAATTTTTGGACACCGATGCATTTAAATTAACTTTTTATTAAAAAAAATAACACGATTCAAAATGCTGTGACAGAAACTCGATAGCAGTGTTAAAAAGTATGTTTTAAAAAATTCAACTACTTGAACCGAGAATAATTAATCGTGCAGGACGTCATGATCACCTGACTTATTAGATATGTTTTCCGTTTACCTATTTATTTCTTTTCAACATCAAGAACCTTAGTTTAGTTATGGTGTGTGTGTAATAAGACGTGTGTTGAAAGATAAAAATGTATCAACATGACAGCAGCATTGCTTTAATATGAGACATCCTTAATTAAACGCCGTTAAAGTGAAAAAATAGATGTAGCAAAAACAATAGATACTCTTACTACATATTTTAACAATTTTTATTGTGTAAACCTGTCAGAAACCTTCATAGTGTCTTATTTTTGGATAAAAATCCTTCAGCTCTTCAAGCGACGAAATTTGACTTTAAAATCCTTCATATTGAAGGAAATACTTCAATACTGGCAACACTGCTTAGACCATACATATGCAAACTAGACAACCTCCTTCAATTAATTGTTCAATACCAACATGTTAACCCGTTACCCGTCATATTCTTTGCCCACGAGTGATGTTATATCGTCATTGTATGTCGGTTACAGGTTGCTGCGGGGAAAGGTGGCCGTCTAATTGTTACATGGTCCAAGGTCTAACCTCTGCCGTGGAAAGAAGCCCTGTGGTTTAGGAGGGAGCAGCGCATAAGCCTCTCTTCGGGTCCCAGCTGGAAATCGGCAGCAGTCTGGAGCGCGTGGAGGCCGCTGGACACCAAACCATCGTCGCATGGCCACTCCGGGGGGGCGGGTAGAAATCCGGCCACCGCCATGGCCTGTGCTTGTGCGAGCTTGAGGCCGCTTGCTATGCGAGTAAAGCCTGCAGGTGCCCCCGACGAAGGTTGCTGAGCCCCCGGCGACGAGGGGCTGTTCAGGTTCATCTTGACGCGTCTCGGCGGTGGCGTGGGCGGCATCAGCTCTTGATTGTCGCCCTGAAGACTGCGGAACGCAACAAATTTACGCACAGCTTGGTCTCGGGAATGTTTAAATTATTAAATTACTAGCTAATCATTTTATTGCTATTTAGTCGACTCGTAAAATTACTAAGAGATAATTAATAATATTATAATTATTTCGTCGTGTAGGTCAAATATATGATTTTTTATATGCACTAAAAGTATCGCATAATTTATTATTACACCGCTGGATTTTTTTAGTTCGTTATTTTTTTTAACAATATTTTTTTTATGAATATTTATATATAAGAAAATTAAAGAAATAGCACAAATAGTAAATCGAATAATATAATATTTATAATAAAAGACCTATTTATAGTAAGTTTAACCCTCAAAATTTCATTCGAATCGCTAAAAGCACTTGGAAGAAAATTATAATAAATAGAAAAAAGATGAACACTTTATGCTTGTAGCTATGAAATAATGCAGAATCGGACCTATGTTACTAAAAAAAATAAATCTTATTTTTACAAGAGAAATCTCCCCACGAGAGATCGTACATGTTTTTTGAAACGCCCTGTATAGCTCTAAATAACAAATTATGGGATACTTTTTGTGAGTAGTGTATTTAAATTATTACTATTCAAAACAAAAGCTTCAACAGCTAGATAACTGACCCTGTATAACTCGTTACATGATTTATTAAATTTATATCGATATAATAATTAAATTTTCAAGACAACAGCCGGGAATATGGAGTCAAGAATAGCTTTGTGCTTAAATCGCTTGTAAATCTAACAAATTTGTATCTCCGGCGAGCCAGCGGACTCGGATGATCCATCAAAAACAGGGGCCCTCTCAATCAAAAGCACTGCATTTCGGGTTAATACATATCGGAATCGATCGACATAAACAACAGATCGGGTGCACTTCACCCTCAACACCATTCCCGAGCCCAATTTATATCGGTTACCAATCCAATACACGATTGGTTAGCGAAAAAAAACAAAGTTGAAATTAAAAGAAAAAAATAAGGAAAACTCAAACAAAGTCTGTTATAATCAAACCAAAAAAGATTTTGTAAGATAGCACACAATATCACGCCCTGTTACGCTTACCCTTGTAGCCAGGGTGTAGAAAACCAGTTTTACTGAAAAAGAATTGCTTTCTTTAAATCATTTAAGACAGAATTTAGAAAAAAAAATGTTCTTCCAATCAAATACCGTTTGGTTTAAAATAAATACACTACAGCTTGATCTAGGGTTTCCATGCAAGTTTTTAAAAATTCCGAACAAAATTATTTAGTTTAATTATTATGTCAAGTTTGGGGAAATTTTGAGCGTTTCATTAGCTGCTTTCAAATGCTTAATTTTGTTGGTAAAATTACACATTGCACGTTATATTCCGATACATCCAAACCAATTTACCCGTTGCATATACAATTAGCACAAGCTAAAGTCCGTCCAACAAGTCAATTCAAAAAATGACAGAAAATACAATAACTACGTGAATGAAAATAACAGGCACAGCTGTCACTGTAATAGATCGTAGAACAGATTTATATTCATAAAACGCCAACATGTCTGTTTAGTAATTATGTCCCATGGTAACGATTAAAATATTTAACAAAGTTAAGTTGTTTTTATGGTTAGATTTCCCGGAAATTTTTTTCAAATTCCGGCCGGACATGTCCGGGTAAATTCGGACGTATGGAAACCCTAGTACGGTAGCTAAATTAAAAACTTTACCTCACAGTTACTTTGAAACTTTGAAATACTATTTGAGAGAGGTTTTATTCTATTTATTTAGAGTTAAACGGCATTTTTTACATCTGAAAATTAAATAGTTATTATTTTAACGATTTACTATGTTATTAAAGGGTAGAATGTAGAAACTAGATCGAAAAAAGCTCTATTTTTGGGCTTACTCGATTATGGTGTAAGTGTTCTTCTCCGGATCGCCGTACAAGTTGGTTAGCGACTGCAGAGGAATTTCTTCATCCCTGTAGCCGTCGTTTAATGAGGTGGCGCTTGCTCTGTTGTGGACCACATTCTTGGTCATCGAAGTGATGTGGTTCATGCCCTCCGTAACCGCGTTCTTGATCGAATTGTACGGCAGGTAGTCTATGCTCGAAGCAGGAGTGATCTTAATTTGCGTGGAGTTCAGTTTGAGCGACTTGGCTCGGCTGAAGCTGTGTCCTCTCTTCATCGATGACCACACGCTTCCAAATAGTGAATGATTCCTCTGTTTAAATGAAAGATATTTTTAGCATTTTTTTGTCTTTTATTATTTAATGATTTAAGTTATTTGAGTTTGAAGTTTTTCGAAAACTTTTTTAAATAATAGAGGAAGATTTAAATCTTTTTAGAATAGATTTGTCAGATTTTTCGAATATTTTTAAGATAAATTTTTAACAGCAGCATTTTATTTTGAATTGTCCGGTAGCGGATAAAAAATAAAAAAGAGTATTGTGGTGAGCTAGGCTAGTCTTAGACTTGCGGTCTTGGTTTTGGTCTTACACAAAATGCAAGATCAAGTAGCTGGCCTCTGTGAAGCCGTCTCAGATACCGGTTTTAGTCAAAGCCCTGAAACTGTATGGTGAGTTATAAGTCAAGAAAGGCGAACGTAATAGATCTGTAGAAAATATGTCGCGGTGATTAACCCCCTCCCATACATTCTACATTCTAGCTAAACTTACGCGATGCATAGGTTCTGGATTATCGTCAATCAACTCGTCCAAGTTTCCAGAGATAGCTCGCTTCAATTCAGGCCCGGCCTCGTGAAGTGTCCTTAGTCCAGCCTGTAGAGTGACCGTATTGTGCTGCTCCTTGTCCCCTTCTTTCAGTTCTTGCTCCTTTCTTTTTTTGAAGCGTCTGAAGTAGTCCTGAATGAGGAAGGTGGCGTAGAATTTGCCAACGGTGACTTCGTCGTCCACGCCTGGCGGGGGAACCACCTGGTCAAGAAGCTTGGGGCTCGTCCGTTTCCAGATCTTCTTGATAACCGCGCGCAATTCGGCGTTGGCGTCGTCTATGTTGCCTTCGGTTTTGATTCTCAATGACGTCCTCACGACCGCGAACAACGTGGCGTTGAACAAAACGGTACCATCACTGTTCAGAGGCATGTTCATCGACACCAAACGTTTGCAAGCGACGCGGTGGGGACAGAGTTTACCGAAACCTAAGGGAGGTGATATTTTCCGGAGCAACGTGACCACGTCCAGGTGCTTAATGCGGCCCTTTGCGTCTGGATCGTACTCACTCCACAACCTGATGAATTCGTCCAAATGGTGGGGGCCCAGAATCGACCAGTCCCTTGTCAGATAATCGAAATTATCCATGATAACCGCTACGAATAAATTAATGATCTGGAAAGGAAACAACGAGTAAATATTGAGTCGCGTCCTCCTATACGGATCTTACCAAAAACGAACATAAAACGTAAAAAGATATAAAATATGGATACGCAGAATCCGATCCGCAATATGGGGAGTCGGTTGATGAACGATTGAGTCTCCTATCACATCTAGCTTTCTTCGTATCCGCACAGTCCATCATGACCTCTTGCCATGCTTCACCTGAAATACCCGTAATAATTAACAGCAACAATTTTCAAATATCAAAGCCAAGTAACAATGACTATGAACGTGGTAGAAAATGATTCAGTATTAAAACTAAAAGAATTTCGGACTTCCATTTTCTTTATTTATTATGCGTACACAACGTTCCGATCAGAAGTATCACTGACCGTTATCAAGTGTGAACTATATTGTTGAAATTTCCATACTTGGATTGCTAAAGATTCGATTATTGCTAGATATGAATACGGCTTCTTTAGATTTGCGCCTTTTCCAGTGGGGTCTTTTGTGGACAACCCGGGCTGCGGAGCATTTTATGTTGTGGTGCTTAGACCACACATGATCTGCAATGCCCGACTTGATTGTTTCACCTCATTGCGTATGCTTTTTATGTTTGTCAAGTAAGTCCGTAAGTCTTTTAGTTTCAACAATGACTATTTTAGTAATTATCTACTTAGTTAACTCTTGCATGGAAATAACTATTTAAAAGCGACTCAGTATACCTGTAGCTGATCGAAACAATACCAAAACCGCTTGAAAAAATGAAGCAAAATTGTTGTTTCTGGAAAGGGAAGAGTCTGATTCTATGTCGTTGCTTTCGATTTTCCCAAACATCTAAAAAATATTTAATACGTTATCTTATTATTACATTATACAGGGTCTTAAGTAAGTTTTAGGGGTAGTATATTTTGAGCTCAGAAACATGTCTATGGTTTTTTTTCGCGAAATTTTTTTTTTGAAAATTTGAAATTTTTGGAAAATTTGAAAAAAATTTTAGAATTTTTTTTAATTTTTAGTTAAAAAAAATAATATATTCATAATATAACAACTTACGTGGTATATTAAATTTGCAAGAAAGAAAACACAGAAATAATGCAGTGGTTCTCAAAATTTAAGCCAAAAATCATTTTTTTTTAATTTTCAAATTAAAATATCTCGGTTATTTTTGACTGAGTGCACTGAAATATTTGCACTTATTTAAGACTTACCCTGTATAATTACAGTTGCACATTAAAATAATATTTTATTTCCTAAACCCTGTATAAGTTTTATTTTAAAATGGAAATTGAATGGTTGGAGGTTGGAGGGCAACAACTAGGTCGGCCACAGGTTTTGTACTGTAAATTCGATTGATCGAGCAGAAAGTGAGAAAATAAAACCGAATATCGTCAAACAAAACATAAAATCAACTTAATGTCACTCTTACTGACACCCATTCTATTTTATAAAACCTTAATATTTATTTTATATCACGCAGCACCTTTGCAAAAGTACATTTCTATGTAACTCACCGATTTCAGACTTAATGCATTACAATTTTTTGAGCGCAACTGTCAGGGACGTATTCAAAATAATTGGCAACTATAATTTTAAGTCTCCCATAAAAAAATTCTCTCGAAAAAAGACTTCCGGAGCTTTTAATCCCCTTATATTCTTAACTCTAAAGTTTTAATATTTCTGTTTAGGTTTATTTTACATTAACGCAGTTTCAAATAGAAAAGTAAGCCTAAATATTTTTATCTACTGAAAAATAATAAACAAGGTATAGAAATTCGGTAATAGATTTTTAATAGTTGACCGAAATCGAAATAAAAGAATGTATACCTACTTGCATCCCTATAACTGCGTAAATAAAAAAGAGCATCAATATAAGCAAAGCTACGTAGGGCAGAGCCTGGAAAGACTTAAAAAATGTCCATAGCAAGGTTCTAATGCCTTCGCCTCTACTCAGCAGTTTTATAAGTCTCATGACGCGAAATAATCGGAAGAAATTTCCGGAAAACTTGATTTTCCTATCGCCACCTGGCTAAAAAGAAAAAAAGTAGGAGGATAATGAATATCCCGACAATGATTGATGAGGTATTTTTTAATATAGGATACTTACGCTAACATCTTGATAAACTATATCGATGAAGCTCCCCAAGACGATAATGAAGTCAAAACCATTCCATGGATCTCCGAAGTAATTCTAAAAATTATAGTTTAGAAAAGGAAAAGGATATAGAATGGTTAAAAGCTTTAGTATAACCAAAATATTTCCCTCCGTTTGTCGGGTATCCAATACTCACTTTAGCCCTAAAGGCTGCTAGTTTAAAAACAAATTCCATCGCAAATACCGCCGTGAAGATCATGTTCAAGTAATCTAAAACACTACCATATTCGTCGGGCTGTCCGTGAAACTTCATAGCCAATGTGACTGTGTTGATAATAATCAAAGTAAAAATGGCGTATTCGAAAGGCTTGGACGTAACGAACCACCAAACCTTGTACTGGATTCTGTGCTTTGGAATGTATCTTCTGACGGGTTTGGCCTTGAGGGCGAACTCCATACAGTTCCTCTGGTTTTTGTCCAGTTCGCAGTTCTTGTACTCCTGTTCGCCTTCATTCTGGAATGTAACGATAACAAAACCGACGAATATGTTAACCATGAAGAATGCGATAATGATGATGTAAATGATGTAGTAGGCGGCTACTATGGGGCGGTAATTGTGAATTGGTCCTTTGTTTTCTTCGTTCGAGTCTATTGAGACGTAGAGGAGTCCAGGCCAGCCCTCGAAAGTGGACACAGTGAACAACGTCAACATCGCTTTGGCCACGTTGTCAAAATGGAATCGATTCGGTTCCCATTCCCTGTCCTTCATCACTGGCTTGTTTATGTCACCGTCAACGTAAACCAAATAAGTTCCGCTGCAGAAAACCAAAAATATTTTATTCTTTCAACTTCATTTCTACTTTAAAGGTGCGTTTACACGAGCCAAGTCACTTGAATTCATTTCGAATAAATGTAATATGATCGTCTAAACTCGAAAAATCATGTCAATTGGTCAAACGAGTTGATTCAGTTCTCGCTTGACTACGGTTTTGCCGTTAAAGTTGTGTTTTTAAAATGGCGACATTTAGTTGGTCAGAAGAAAGTTCTGTAAAGTCCATTAATATTTATGAAAAATAAGGTGTATGTGGAACACACAGAATCCGAAATACAAATTTAGTTAATGAAGGGTAATTTCTAGTTTAAGCCGATTACATATAGCGCTACCTATTTTTTAATTCTGAGTGCAACTTTTTCCAACAAAAAATTAAATTGATTTGCATCCACCCTTAATTTTTTTTGGTAATTTCTAGGATCCTAACTATTGTTAAGGTATTAAGATCTCTAACTAATCCATTTTCTGATCCATAATCTCCTTTTACGTCAATTTTTTTACGCAGTAAGCTTTCTATCAATTCTACTATCAAAATTTTGGCACTATGTAGTACTATCGCTATTTTGAATCAACCAGCAGAAGCTTTTGTTATGAAATGTGTAAACTCGGAATACGCTTTCAAGTCAGCTGCATTTCTGTGACTTGATCAATTCACTTGACTCGTAAAACTCGCCTTAACAAAAACCACTTACTTGCATTCACCTGCTGTCAGCTTCGAGCCATCAGTACAGTGGGAAAATTTACCCTATTTCGAAAAAAATCAAGTTTAATTAAACATATCCATGTTTTTATTTCGAAAAAATAATCACCGTTCAAATAAAAAGAAACCCATGCACAAAAAAATATTTATATTAGCTTGGAAAGGGAAGAAAATCATTCGGAACACTTTCTCTGAAGTAAAAACGATGTAATTTTCTTAAGTAATTGTAAACGAGATGATGTATCGCTATCTTGTAGGGTTATTTTTTACTATAGATTAGATTTTTTTTGTTTTCTTTTCCAGCAAACATGCCGTAGTTGTTATGATATTCCCTGATACGTCACAGATATCCATTTAATTTTATAACTACATATTTATACACTGAAAAAACCTGATTGTAAAGGTCACAGGTACCTACATTACCTATTATTATGTTTGTTTCTATTTAATAAAAAATATTTTTGATTCACGTAATAAAATAAAAATAAAGTTTTCTTATACCGTATAAATGTTTTGTTTATTATTCGATTCCGTGGTGATATTTTACATAATAATCAACTAATTTTCAAAAATTACATGAAATTGAGTCTTTTGTGATATACTAATCAAATCTGTATGCAAATGATGTATTCCATTGAAAGAGGTGTTATGAGATTCAATGCATATGTAACGGCTAAAATGGATACTTTTGGCTAGTCCTAAACTAACCAGCTATTTTACTAACTAAAAGTGCTGTTATTTTGAAAAAATCCACCTTTTCTGGAAAGCGTACTTCTTCATACCAGACAATTCTATTGTCTGATTCCCTTACTTCTCGACTTGACTAAAAGATGGCGCCTGAAAAAGTCTTTTAATTTCTGGCGGATACGTTGCGGTTGTGCAGGCAACCAGTAATACATTTTTAATTTCTGGCGGATGCGCCATTTTTCTTGACAGTATAATAACTAATAACCATTTATTATTTTGGCTAATATGATAACTCCATTATAGTTTTAGTCATGAACAACAACTGAAATACATTTTTGACTTTAAATTGACTTAAAATACCCATTTTAACCAGATTTTATAGATAGTTTGCAAACTCACCAGTTAGATTGTAAACTAGAAAGATTGGGCGGATTCCTTCAAAATAACAAGCGCTTTTATTAGTTTGCAAAATTGCTGGTTAGTTTGAAACTAACCAAGTATCCATTTTAGCAGTAACACGTAATAAATGAAGAAGCAATTATTTCAGAAGAAAACTACATCAGCGTGTGAATAAATCATAGTCGAATTTAAATTAAAAAAACATGCATCCATGCAAAAACAGGAACATCTACAAACTGCGACCACTTGTAGTCATAACTAGTAAAACGTGTCTCAAATCAATACCCTAAAAAAATAGTGTTAGAAATGGCTGCTCACATTCGACATAAATAAGTTAACTTTTGCCTGAAATGGCGTGCGCTGATGATTTCAAATAGATGGCACCATTCAGGTGACGTTTATCGTGCTATTCTTGAGCTGAATGAAGCCTTACCAGCATTACTACTTGGAACTTGCATCGCCAAACGCATCGCATAACCGATCGTCAATTAAAATAAATATTCTCAACGCAACTACAGTGCCCACAAAACATTTATTGATGGCAGGCTAAAGACAAATAACAGAAGATTTTGTAGGAATTTCTGCGACAACCCTCGTGCAGGAGGGTTAATCTATTTTGAGTTCGAAAGTAAGTTGGAAAAGGGGCAGGACAAAGATAGGAATCTAGGTCGGAAGATTTTCAGTTACCAGAAAACTTCTTAAAGAAAAAATCCAATTATTGGACGCACATAATTCCAATAGTACCAAATCTAATTCCTGATTAATAAACTTCTTGAAAGCCAATAAACAAAATTATTTAATATACATATTTTTATTAATTTTTAATTGATACAAGCAGACTAAAATACCAGAAAAAATTATCTAATAATATTATTTTTATTTTTAATTGCGTACACGGATATTAACAATGCTACAAATATTTCTGTAAATTTTACTGAAATTAAATATCGGGAATAACCAATAAACTATACCAGTTATGAAAATAATAACAGCAAAAAAGCTAGATAGAATCGTTCGCCCAATTTATTTTCGATTGGCTGTGTTAAAATTTCATAATTGTTTTGAAACGTTTCTCTTCGAAACCAACTGTCTATAGAGCACCGTACCCCTACGTACGACACAAATTATATTTTATTTTTAAAGTACTTCCAAAGCGTTAATGCCGAATTAAAGTTGAAAAAGAACTGAAATATTGCAGTATGATGGATAATGAAAATCATTCCTCGAAACGTATCAGGCCCTGCGAATTCACAATTTATCGCTCTAAAAATAGACAGATCTGAAAAGGTTTTGTTGAAATAGGGAAAAAATCCATTATTAAAATTGCATTTTATCTGATTGTGTTTCGAGAAATATATGTAATAACGACCATCGGAAATAAAAATAAAATGTAGTAAATAGAATGTCGCTGTACAAAAGCAATAAAATTTATGAGATATTTTTCGAGAAGATTCTTTTTTACGAAAGCGTAGAGTTACCATGCCAATATTGTAAAATATTTCCAGCAAAATTTACAGTTTTTTTGTCAATTTCCACTTTAGAAAATGGCCAACAATGAACATATCCACACTACCCGTAAAGGTGCGTTTATACCGGCTGCGCCGCTCCGCGCAAGTCATTTTTTTAACATATACTTTTGTGCGCGCTAAAAAAAATACACTTCAAAAGTATATTTTAAAAAAATGTTTCGCGGCGCAGCCGGTTTGAACGCACCTTAACATCGCCGTCCCGTCGGGAATGAATGAACTTCAAAACAAACAAATGATTTTGAACGCCCTAATTCTATATGTGCCTGTCTACAGTGTCTAAAGTCTGTCCAACGACTCAGGGAAGATTTGGACAGGCTACATAAAAAAAATGGCAGATAATACGATTTACCTGCGAATTAAAATTACAGACATACGCGTGACTGTCGACTAGTAATAGATTTGAGTGGTCCATCACCTTTGTAAAATTGTGGTGTAATCTATAATGAAATCTATAAAGAAGTGGTGTTCTAATATTATCAGAGATGGAATTCTGAAATTTATATATTCTATAAATTTATTTAAAAAGTTCAGTAGATTTTTAGTCAAGAATTGAATTTACTGATATAGTTATGACATCTTTGGGAAATTGCTGCTCGGATGTTTATCTTCGTTACAACTTCAAGCGATTGACGGATATAAGGATTTCAAGTCATCAGCGAGTTCGCTAGTTATCGTTCTGTTTTCCCTTATAGTATTAGTTTCTAGATATTCTTTACGCAAAACCGACGAATCTATTACGACAGTCATTCTAAAAAGCACAGTTCAACACTGACACTGGTTGTTCTGGAGAAATCGAGTGTGAAAGAATTGGAAGACCGGGATGTGGTAAAAACGGGAGGAATTCGCAGAAATTCAAAAGTGAGTTGTGAGCGTGATCTGTGAGCTGAGAGGGCAGCGCCCTACTCAAATCGCTATCCAATCAGCTACGACAGAACATGCACATCTACGACGCAGTGCAGCTCGAAGCACTGCACTTTACCTTAAAGAGCTGCACTCCGATGACAGCGAACATGAACTGCAGAAGGTAGGTGACCAGCATGATATTGCCGATCGTCTTAATGGCTACTATCACGCATTTCACTACATACTAGCCATAGGAAGATTCGGCATGAAGAGATGAAACAAACGAAATAGTCAGTAAAGCAGTGACGGCTCGGCAGTGCCGGAATTATAAAAAGAAATTAAAAAAATATGTTAAAATATTTTCGAAAATTCACTATGCGATATGAGGGAAACCTAAGAAACCAAATACAATATTTAGTTTATTACTAACCACCGCTTATTTAGTACCCATAACTATCCCAGATCTATATAAACGTATCTTATCTACCTATTTATAGCTTACAGGATGAATAAATTGTCTATTTTCTATATAATTGGCGGGCTGCTACTGTAATAAGCTGTGGTATCATCTTACGTTTTGTGGTGAAATTCTAAAAAAATAATATTAATGCAAATCTAGGTTTCTCTTATATGCATTTTTTTCAAATTCTGTCCGAGTTTGGGAGCGATATTTCGATTTAAATATGACAGACTTACAGAGGTATTATACTGCCGAGTATACTAAATTTTAGCCTTATATTCGTATTATTATTATTCATACATTATTCATAAACAGAACACGAAATAACATTTTGATTCAACATTGAATATCTCAGAGATTTGTGATAAAAAAGTTGGATTGATAGTGTCTTTGGTGTTTACTTTTATTGTAGTAACTTTTAAGATGACATTTAATTGTTCTGATTCTAAATCTCTTACACTTTTGAAGATATCGAGAGTAGTCTGAACACCAATCTTTAAGCGAGCTCAGAATCCGACTTATTACATAGGAGAATCTGCTATATGAGAAATCCAAGGCAAAGTTTTAGAATCAGAGTCGTGTGCATGGACGTTGGACAGATAGGTTAAAATTGTTAATCACAATTTTGTGTTGGTTCCTAAGTCGCGAACCGCCACTGCAGCGAGGGAAGTAGGTAAAGCGCACGCGCGGCCGAATCGTTGGGGCAGCGGGCAGCCGTCTGGACGTCAAATGCACCCTGGGTCGACCTAGCAGGGGCGGCGCGGCAATGCCCTACCCTAGATATGACTACAAGTGCTTGACACGAAGGATGCTGGAAGGCCCAGTTGCCGATACGGCGGCCATGCGGGTTAGTAGCTGCCCCGGTTGGCTGCAGTGGGAACCCATAGGTGCATTTGCTGGACAACAACGGACTGCTGATGCCTACCTTAAACAACTCGACTCCGATAACCGCAAACATAAATTGTAGCAGGCACGTGACCAGCACTATGTTGCCGATGGTCTTAACTGCCACGATAAGACACTGGACTACTTGCTAGGGACAGACACAAGTAAGTCATTGAAACCAAGATGGCACCAGCCGGATAGGGCCATTCCCGCACCTAATCTTTGGCTCAGATCGTTGTGGATTTACCAGTGACGTGCTCATAACCTATTCCACACAGTATTTCGCAAAAAATAAAATTTAAGTTGGGACCATTGGGCTTCCAATAGAAAATTGTTCAAATCTTCCACAATGCATCACCCCCCTTCACCAAAACATCCGGTCTGCGGATCCGGCCTTCGCACCCGGCCTTTGGATGAAATCTTTGCGTTTGTGGCTACACTTCCTGTTGAGAACTTGGCTACAATCCAAACGGACTGTACCATGTAGGTCCTATTGGAACTTAAGGTAGCCGTTACATACATACAGTTTTTCCTCAAGGTATATAAAACTACGCAGGATACTCGGGTATATAGCAATAGCGTCTACCCATAATAATGCTTTGGTGATAATTGTTTGGTGTCCGTTTTATACGCCACAAGCTGATGCTCCAAAATTGAAAGAATCTTTGAGATTTTTTTTATTATTTTTATTATTCCTTACACTCTTTTCTTAAAGGCGGAGATTGAGTTGAGCAGAGCGCTGCCGCTGAGTTGAGCAGAACGCTGGTTCGCTGCTCGCGACGAACGTTTCGTTAGCAGTTGATACGCAAAAATCTCATTTCGAATGCTTGGCTAGCAATGCTCCAGTATCTTTTGCATCATTAAGAAATGCTGTATCTAGAAATCGGGAGTACTGCATTTATTCAAACTATTCACTAAAGGCAAGGCTATCTTTCGAATATTTTAATGAATTCTTCCACAAATTGATGGTCTATATTTGCAAAATAACCATGCTGCACAGCGAAAACTGGTAAATTAACTTACTATACTACCACTTCTGTTCGGGCAGGTCTGCAGAGTTATTTAAAATTTCAAATATTATTCTCTGGATTGTACAGTTCACCGGCAGCCTCAAGATACAGGTTGCAGAATATCTCAATGTTTGGAGTGCGCAGTTCAAACCTTGAGGAAAAATTATATGTTTATGGCTAAATTTAAAACCTCACCTCTAACCATCCTTTATCATTATATCAGTATATAGTAATATTTAAACATTATTTTTGCTACATTTTAAAATGAGCCCAAAACAGCTCATTGTATCGTGGTAGATTTACGTATAGTTAGTTTATTATTTTTACTGAAATTCAGAAATAAATAAATCCAAAGAACTATAATATGCTTTATTATTCATTTTCATTTATATGGGCAAGCATCAGAGCAACAGCTTTATGAAATTATGATATGCATAACCTATAGAGACAGACTCCTTGAAAGCAATCTGATAAAGAAACGCACCTACGAGTAGAATATTAAAAGCAACGAACATAGAATTAAAATCCGCCAGCCGACTAGATCTGAAATAATTAAATTAAGGATTTTCTTATATAGAGATATAAAAGGAAATTTCTCAAAGAAAACTTATTTATAAGTAATATAGGTAACGTAAGATATTTCTAGGAGATAAATACATTTTCAATAACTTTATTATTGAAAAGAATTTAGATAAAAGCCGATAGCATATAAGTATTTCAGCATCGGGCTTTGTTACTAGAATAATATTCGAACACAAACTTATGGCATAGTTTCAAGAAATAATACCGTATCTCTGTCGTTGAGGTAAAAATAGAACGCATACTTATCGAGAAATAAGTTTGATACAAATAAAATAAAAATAATGAGCACGTCACTGGTAGGAAATATAGAAATAGTAAAAAAGACACCTACCTTAAGTCCTTTAGCGCGATTTATTGCTCGTAGAGGCCTTAGTACTCTTAAAACTCGAAGAATTTTAACTACTGACATTGCTCCCTGACTGGAAATCAAGAGATAATCACACTTTGTTTGAACTGATCGCAAACTATTGTTTTACCTGTTATAAATGGACACCAAAGAAACGCACACTACGACTAAGTCCAGTACGTTAAATGCTGATCTTAAGAAGGCACCCTTATGTAGAATGCATCCGTATGATATTGTCTTTAATACCAATTCCACGGAAAATATTCCAGTAAAAAAGTAGTCGAATTTCGTTAATATCTAAAAAAAAACTACATGAACGCGTTCCAGTGCACATATCAAAATATACTTGCATCGGCTTTTTTATTTTCTTTATCTGGAATTGGATCTTCCAAAGCTAATAAAGCGGAAGAAACCAAAATACAAACCAAAATTATATTGCTGAAGTACGAATGATTGCATAGCCAGTGGCACAGAACCCGAAATCTAGAAAAAAAACGGAAATTTTCCCGATTAAGAAAAAATCGAAATATTTATCATATCTGAAACTCAGCAAACAAATCGCGTTTGAAAAATAATCTAGGGATTTGAGGAGAAACAAACTGTATAAATACTCAAAACTTAATATTTAGAAACACATAAAACTACTGGAAATGGGTGTAAAGATTACTTTTCAAAATATGTTTAATTCACTCGACTCTTTAATTAGTTTGGTTGCTGAGAATATAATATAACATTCAACGACTGATTTCTACGACAAAAATCTAGCAGTTCACAAAGAATGAAAATCAAAACAAAATAAAAAAAAAGAATCGCTCTGTCGATGCGTGTAACTTTGGAATATTGAATGATGATCACAAAATAGTGGATGTCTAGACGATCATACATAAGTCCAGAGATTAGGTTTGAGGGAGGTTAGGGAAAGGATAAGTTGATTAGGGAAATAGGATAAAGGGTAATAAACAGTTGTTTTTAATTTACGAAGGTTAATAACGCGATGTCGATTCAAAAATAATTTTATAAAATTCCGTAAATTCATCTAACTCTAATCAATCCGTTAATGCCTTTATCATTAATATCAAAATGGCCTATATTTTCCTCATCTACGCACCAGTCAATTATTAAATAACCCTTAGCGAAATTGGAAATGATCACGCTTCCCGATAATTAAAAATAAACCTTCAATTTCTAAATGAAGTATTTGAACGTTTACGAAATCTGTGATAAAACTATAATATTTACAAACTCCAAAATTACACACCGAAAGATTCGTAAAAATGGATGATGGTCACTTGCGCCCAGTAGTCATCGGAGGACATTGTTAGCCCCAAAGAAAAATTCAGAGACTTACACAAATGCATTTATTTTATAATTAGTTGCAATAATATTAAATTATTGCCGCATTTATTTGCACAGTAAACTGAAATGAATCAATACATTTTCAAAAACATATCTAAAAGTCTATGTAAGGTTAATAGACTATGTGTTTTATTTTTGGAAAGTGTTCAGGTCAAAGACTGTCCGAAACTTGGCATAGATAGCCTAAAAAATTTAACCGCAGGGCGCAAGTGGTGTATATATGTCGGTAAAAAATAATATGAAAAACTGTTATGAACAATCAGACCATTTTGAGCATAGCAAATTAGCTAAAGACATTGAAACTATAAAGGGTGGTTCTACGCTGGTTGGGGAGGTCCGCACTGTGCATTTAAACAGTACGAGGCCATACTACACAGTACCGGAACAGGGTGCAAGCAACACACTGAGACCTAAGGCCCTGCTGGCATGTCTACTGTCACATGTCACCTGTTCGTCGGTGAAAAAACGAAGAAAGATGACGCAGGGGGAATGGGAACTTTCTGAGAGTTTTGTTTTATTTCGGACATGCGCCGTGGCCTAGCCCCGACGCGGCTACCCTCATCGTTATCATCTCCGTTATCTGTAATGGCACACAATCACACTAATTACTATCTGAGTTCTACCAACATAGCTGCAGAAGAGACCAGGTTAGACGATCCTCGATTACCACAGTGACCCGAACGGTATTTTGATTCTATGGTACTTAAGTCTTTTCTATTATTAAGCAATTATGCGTCTAGACCATCTATCTGAGATCTTCGATTGAAAAGAAGCACGTTGGACTAGTATCAGAGTATCGTTCGAGGCCCTAAGTATGGGGTATCGGTATTTTTGGTCCGCTATTATCGTATCCCTAGGTCTGTCTATCTAAACTAAAGAACGCCAAGCGAAAGAGATAGAGCGAAAGGAGCGATCTGCAGCTATGTTCTGTTCTAGAAGGCGTACCTGTTCTTATACGAAAATATAAAAAAGGCACTGCCCTTCGGTATCGGCTTGATTTTCTTAAGTATAGTGACCTCTGAGAGACGGCGTGGTCTAGCCGAGTCTTTCGAAACAACGACTATGTCTTCTCCCTCTTCGTCCTCTAAAAATGACCGTTATAGCTTGCTATGTCCGTCACTCGCTAGCTCCTTTTCTACGCTTAAAAAGAAACCACAAATGACAAAATTTAATACTGCCTTACCTTCGTTTTGGCCAATGTCCTCCTCCTCCCCTTCCAGAGCTATTTTCGTATGAGATTCGGCTTCCTCCTCATCCTCATGGCCCGATCTACCCACACATCAAACACCAATCAGATATGATTTTCCAGTATAAAGTAGATTATCGCCTACAAGACACGTTAAAGAGATATCTCCAAAAAGGGATATCTTCATAGAATTAGACGTTGTGTTGTGGCGACAATCTTTGGAATTTCTGAAAATTATATCGAGCTAACCTTTCGGAATACTGTCCATCTTCCATTTCTTCTTCTAAACTGTGCTCCTCCTCCTCAACTTCTTCTTCCTCTTCTTCTGGATTTGGAGTAGGACTCTTCGACCTCTTATCTTCCTCTTGCTGTTTTTCCTCCTCCTCTTTTTCGATAGCGGTCAGAGATTCCGCGTCAGCCAAGTTGTCGACGGCGATAGCCAAGAAGACGTTCAACAAAATATCTGTCGTTTGGATTTAAGTAGAAAATATAATTTTGCGCATTGATCATTTCAATTTTTGTTAATAAAAGGATACAGTTACCACAGATAAAAAGGATTATATAATATATAGAAGCTAGAGCACCAAATCCTTTAACACCTCCATAGGCTTCTATACCGTCGTACATGACTGTGTTCCAGTCCTCACCAGTCAATATCTGGAAATATTTGTTTTAGCAATTCGTGATATGCCAGGAATAGAGTATAAAGTATTTCATTGACTTACTTGAAAAACAGTCAATAAACTCTGCCAAAAACTATCAAAATTATATCTAGGCTTTTCTTCGGTCTTCCGATTAAATCGTCCACCAAAAACTTGCATTCCCAGTAGGGCAAAAATAACAATGAATAAAAATAGTAGAAGCAACAAAGAAGCTATCGATTGTATAGAATTTAACAACGAGGCCACCAAATTCGACAGTGACCGCCAATATCTAAAAGAAGTATATTTCAAATTATCAGAAACTGAATGAATTCATGCTGGTTGTTCTTACTTTGTAACTTTAAAAACTCTTAACAGCCTAACACAGCGCAACACAGATATTCCCAGAGGTGGCATTATGTTTGAGTGAGTTAAAACCATTTCAGTTATACTGCCGATAACAACAAAACAATCGAAACGATTAAATAAGGACACAAAGTAACCCTAAAAATACAGAAAATCGGATTAATATAATTTTTTTAGTTCGGGTTTTATCTTATGAGGACTTACTTGAAAACCCAAACTATACATTTTCAACAACATTTCTATTGTAAATAAGGCGATAAAAAACATATTTGTGTATTCTTGAAAATGGTCCAACCAGATAGGCTGCTGGTAATGCTCGGTGGCTAAAACGCCAGTATTTAAAAACACTAAAACAATTATAAGCCAATAGAAGGCCTGCGATTTGACGGCTTTACGGCAAGCCCTTCGCATCCTCCTATTGACCCGGTCAAAGTCTTTTTTCTTCTTAGTAAAGCAAGAATCCTGCTGGACCTCTTCCTCCAACTGGTCAGTGGACGCCATCTCGTTCGATATGGCGTTCCTCTGGTCCTGGTTTTGTTGATCCTCGCCTTCGGGCTCGATGTCCTCAGCTTGAGTGATCCAATCCAGATAACCCCGGAGGTCTTCTTCGAGCTGCTGTTTCTCTCTCAGCTTGTGAAAGTCGCCCCTTGCCTTAGCCTTTTCTCTCTCTTTGGAGAATTCTCCGCTGAGGACACCAAGAATCAAGTTCATAACAAAAAACGCCCCTAATATAACCATGGAGACGAAATATGACCATTGCCACTCCCTTCCTAGAGCGTCTTGTATCTAGAATTAGCAAACATTGCTGTTTTGTTGAGATTTATTGAAAAAAATGACTTACATTGTAAAGTACGTCGGTCCAGCCTTCTAAAGTAATGCACTGAAAGACAGTTAACATAGCTAAACCGAAATTATCGAAATTGGTAATGCCGGAATTTGGTCCTTTCCATTCATTTTTACAGCCATTTTCAGAATTCGGTTCGTGACAACCTTTACAAACGAATTCGGGTCCAATTTCAAAACAGTTAAAACCATCACCACATGGATGTGGCTCTTCCATTTGTTCCCCTACAAAATTATCCCCAAGTGATTTGCGCATCCCTGTACTTTTCTGACCTGATATATCCAGAGTCAAAGAATATTATTTAACGCGGAGGGTACGTTCCTTGACAAGACGTTTATTGAACCAAATTTGATATTATATAAACTATTCAGGATGACTCTTATATAAATGCAAATATTTTAAGCAATGATATATTTCGACCCCAGAAATACGGCTATGAGTTATTTTTAAATATAATTTTTTTTATATAAAAAAAAGACCTTCAAGAGTCTTGCAGCCAGACCAAGACCAAGACTAAGACCACTTCTTATCTGCGAGACCATGACTGTCCAAGACTAAGGTAAATATTGGTTTTGATCTTGCATTTGCTTATTACTACAGAGAAATCACTGGTGTCAAAAATACAAACGCGTATAAGCTAAACTGCAAATAAATATGTAGAGTAAACAAAGGGACTCCTGTATTTTAATATAAACCTATGTATATGTATTTATGAAACGTCGCGATAATATGAAAAGTTGTTTCATTAAACTAGAATCTTAGCAAAACTATTAACAACTCTTCCATCGCTGTATTGATATAAAAACTTTTCACTTCGAAGCTTCCGAATTGATTGATAGACTCGTCAACAAAGAAGTTAAATTGATTCTTGGCTGCTCTAGATATAACAGGGCTAGGGAATATCGTTCCCTTCCGATAGATAGGGGCGCAGCTCACCTGTATTATTGTGAAAACAAGTTTTATGCATTTGACCTGAGAACAACTCCAATCCGATAATGGCATAAATAATAATAACGAACAACACAAGGAGAGCAATGTGTAATAAAGGCACCATGGCACGCAGAATTGAATTTAACACGACCTGTAAGCCTGAAAGACAACAATTATAACTCATAAATTTTATATTACTAATTCATTACTAGCCGTATGTTTGTTTCAAACCAATTTTAATTTTGTTTATTGTATACTCACCGGCACGAAAAACGGCACCTCAAATTTTGATGTAATTTAAAGTTTCATATATTTTGTTCTAATAGGCCGATTTTGATGATTTTTTAAGCAATCTCTAGGTAAATTAATTGAATTTTCACTATCTCTTTCTACATTAAAAATGAAGTTCACCATCTGTCAATTAAACACAAAATGTTGTTATTTAGGTGAACGTTTGAACCACCCTATTGAATATGTTAAAATAGCAAGTCATTTTATCATCTAGGTGCATCTTTTCTCGATAGTTAATTTTTTGGTTCTTCTCAATAGCTTTATATCTTTTGATTATATTCGCTTTTAAAGAAAACACTAACATATTTTCAACATTAATTTTTACATTAAAAACATGGCTTTACTTTTAGTCCCAGTCAACAGGCCCATAAAATAGTATTTATGATTTATGTAATGTCACTATTAAAGTCACTCTTATTGAAAACTCATATTATTATTGTCTGATGACTGTTGGGCACTTACTCTAGTAGAAATAGTTTTAAGTCCAGAAGCTGTATCCGCTATAGTTGCTTTAACTGAAAATGATAGACATCAAAATTATATCGCTAACAAATTAGGTGTGCACCGCGTACTGGTTTGTTTCCCTATACAGCGATACATTACTGTTATTGATATACAGATTTAGCGACGTACATTCAAAAAACGAACCAGTGTGCGGTGAGACGTGGACGGTGGACGCCAGACGTCGCAAGGAAATCCAGGAACCTTCGCATGAGAACTTTCGAATCGAGACCTTTGTCGAGACGATCGACTTATTGCAAGTTTATCGCTAAGAAACCGCCGTTTGCCAGCATTTCAAATTTTTAACGAATTGCGCATAAGGAACGTGCATGTAAGTGAACGGACTGTAAGGAGAAGAATAAACGAAGCAAATCTTATGTCAAGAAGGCCTGCTTCGGGACCAGAACTCACTAGGTCTGTTGACTAGGACAATATAGGACCAAAAGCAAAGGCATGGTTTTAATGTAAAAATTACGAAAAAATGTTAATGTCTTCATAACAAAAATAAAGTTGTTGACATGAACTAAAAAATAAACTATTGAGAAAGGATGCACCTAAATGATAAAATGGTTTTTAGTTTTTAGGTTCCTTGCTCTATTAATATATTCCACAGGGTGTTTCAAAATTTCGCCAAAATATCAACATTTTGTTTTCCCTCGTACAATTGACATATCGGAATTTTCATTTTTAATTTAGAAAGAGATACTAAAAAGTCAAATAATTTATCTGCAAATTGATTAAAAGATCATCAAAATCGGTCCACTAGAACACAATATATAACAATTTTAATGCCCTTTTTTCATGCCGGTGAGTGTATATTCGTGATAAAAAATTGAACGAATCCTATACGATATGCCCTGAAGTGACGTAAATTTGAGTTTTTCTTTCAGATCAAATCGAAAAATAATAGAATTTGACATGGGCGTAGCTAGAATTTTACTTAGGTTGGGACAAAAAATGCCAAAGCCATGCAGTACCAAAATCTGGTTTATCTTATACTGTTAAATTTTAATTGCGAATTAATTGACCAATCTGCTTTTCATTTACAAGACTTTGGCTGTGATTATATTGGAACTGTGATAAATAATAAAAGCAAAGGTACTAGTGAAGAAACTCTCTGTTCAATTGAACAAAAATTTGAATTATTCGCTACGCCCATGGATTTTGATAACATTTAATGAGCTTGTAAAATTATGGTCGGTTTTTCACAAAATGATAAATTGTTTTTGCCGCAGAATTAATTTGGGTTTTGTTAAAATTAATTCGACGATGAAAAGCGACGTCATATCAGAGCAAATTTAATTGGATGGTCAAAAGAAAGGCCATTTAACTAATCCCGGTAGCTACAGAATACGGAAGTCTATTTAAGGCTCGAAATAATCCGTGTAATGAAAATTAAACTGTTTTTTTCTCTGTGACCGACTACAATGATCATTACAAAGCATTATGCAGCATTAACACTTACTTGGTACTCCAGATACCAATCTCAAAGGTCTCAGTACCCTGAAGGCTCTCAAAGCCTTCACATCGAAACTATCTCTTGTCAAAAATGAGAGTGCCGTACTAATCATACTGAAAATCAGATTAAAATGATCAGGGATACTAGCTGCAACTCTTACTTCATCAACTCTGATACTTAAAAATACACCAAAAAACCAGCTCAAATTTAAGGGCGTATATAACTCTGGAAAAGCAGAAGACAGGCGAAAATCTAGATAAATTGGATAAACATGTTTGTTACAAACGTTGAACACGAAAAAGCAATATCTATTCTTGCAGATCCAATATTTTATTGATTTGAAATAAATTATTATTTTTATCATTTATGAATTCCGTTTAATTTCCTAGGCGAGAAGAGAATTCGAGGTTATATGACTTTTAATAAGGAAATGTTTTTAAAAGTAAATCTGGTAACATAAAATTTCCAGTTGATTCTATAACCCAGTTTGTATAAGTAGGTTGGAAGGCAATTCCTATTTTACAAATTTCTAGGTTTACGACCAACGAATATTTCATAATAAATGTTTGCTCCGTCGTTTCATTAAGCTTCAGCTTTTTTATCCTATTCAGTAATAGAATAATAACAAGATAGCTGAAATAAATAAGTTTTATTTGAGTAATACAGACAGCTTGTACACAACATAAATAATTCTACAAACAATGCGTCGAATGGGGTGGGCGGATTCTGGAATTTCACTCAACTTTCGTATTAGTAAGTTCGATGATAATTTAGTTCCAAGTACTTTGTACAAGTTCGGATTTGGAACTTCTAAATACTTTCATAAAATATCTCTTAATTAAAATTCGTTGTTTTCATCAAAATTCATTAGATGACATTTTACTTTCTGTATTAGGTAGAGCAAGTAAAATTAAAATAAAGAAAATGAATGATTTTCACTAAATTAATTAATATTACGAAAACAAAATTTCACACCCACGATTCGTAAATAAACTTCTGATGGAAAATCCAACATGAGTAAAAGCTATTTTTTGCTCATTCATATGGGAAACGTCAAATGACTCATTTATTACTAAAATAATTATCACGGAAATCACACCATTTGCTCTAAATTGCATAAAAGACGGTTTGACCAGAATGTATCTAAAGGTACATACACACATACAGTTTATCCTCAAGATAAAACTGCGTAGTCCAAGTCTTCAGAATTTTATCGTTGATATTTTATGGTAATTCTTTGACGTCAATTATTGTATTCGTCGTCAACTGATGCTCCATATTTCAAAGAGTTATTGATTTTTTATTCTATTTTCTGTAGGAACTTATAATGTTATTTTCCAGACCAATCCAAGTATTTTTTCAGTCACAATATCTTTCAGCGTAAATTTAATTTAAACTATTTAAACGTAGAACTTTACTTAAATACTGCCACTATCCCTCCCATACTCAATCTCTAGACGTGCCACTGCTTATTAGCAGTGGCGGCGGTAATTGCGGTAAAAAAGAAAATCCAGAAAAGGCATGGAACAAAATGGCACAATACGCCGAAAAATTATATAAATTGTCGAATAGAGAATAGAAATTTTCGTAAATTTGAGAAAAAACTGAATGTGTGTGGCCATCGTTAACGTGTCCTATTTTTATATTTACCTTGGTTCACTTTTCAATAAATTTAGGAGACACATAATAAAACTGCCTGGCTTTCTAGCTGCTCACCAAAGCTATATCACGTGAGTACAAATTAATATCAGCAATAGTTTTAACGGTGTATTTTGATATGCGTTTTTTTACGTACCCTATAACAACTATAGTAAAGTCGAGCAAATTCCAACCGTTTCTCAAGTACGCCCCAGGGTGCATAAAAAAACCATAAGCTATAATTTTCATAATGCATTCTGCTGTAAAAATTACTAAAAAGATGTACTCGATCTTTTCCTAAAAGAACAGAAACTGACTTTTTAACAGAATATTTCATTTATGAGATATGTATGACACGTGAAAAACATAAAAAAAACTTACCAAATAAGCGTTTGTTGTATTTGAATCACCATTAGGAAATGGTGTATAAACAGCCAAGGCAACACAATTTGCAAAGATGGTCATTAATATCAACCATTCAAAAGGTCTAGTTAAAAGTTCTTAAGGAAAACCTTTGTTATTTTTCACCTGAATGTATTTAAAAAGCTATACACAAACTTCTAATGTTTATTAGAATTTTAATGTAAGTAAAATTAGCACTTTAAAATGTCATTTTTTGTCACTTTATAGCTTTAATAACGAAATGTTTACCGTGTTTCATCTCAAAAGTTGACGTACGAACGATCGATCTAGAGTAAAATCCGTTTAAAAACATAAATCTTTAATTTACGAGAATTTTCCATAGAGAAAATACACGCTAAAAACATTGTTTGACTTTAAAAGCCATAAAACCAATTAAAAGTTTACATATTACTTATTTCGCCAGAAATAAAAATATGAATATATTTTCAATAAAAATCGTAATAAAATTGAGCTAGTCCTACTGCAAGGCGTTTACAAGAATGTATTGTAGGAAAATAGATTTTTCTTCAAGATACATATTTATTTAGGCCTATATTGGAACGGCAAAGAAGAAAATTGACTATACACATTTTAGTAGGGGAGCCCAAGCGGGGATTTTGGAATTTACTCAAGCGCCGGCAGGCAGAATAATATAAGGGGAAAAACCTTGCATCGTTAAGTACCTGCACCATACATGAAATTTTTATACAGGGACGTGCGTATAGGATAGTCGATCAGAGTAGTAAAAAAAATGATGGCTAGAAAAACTCGAGCGCGTTAGATTAAGGCAAGCTGAGTTAATTACATGTAGAAAAGTGTCCATTTAAATAATCTGACGATTTCAACTGACATAAGGTGACGGGAGAGTCACAAAGTTGCAAAAACAGTCACCTGGACATTCTGGGGCGTGGTTATTTTTTATTGTTTCATCTATGAAATCTGCCATAGGTTCTGGTCGCGTCAAGTCGTCAGGCTTTTGAATAGGAGCTCCTTTAGAGTTCACTTAATATCCCTTTTGAATCTGTTGCACTCGAATGATTTTTTTTCTTTTCTTATTTTCTATCCCTCCATAGACAGTCGCTAGTCCCGGCACTACAGTAATCCGGATACTGGTACTATTCGGGCATTTTCAAACATTTGCTGACATTCGGATGCAAAAACTTTTATATTTTGTTTGGGAAAAATCTTGTCAAATTGCCGAGCAGATTACGATTCCGAAATTTGCAGTACGCAGTATAAAAATAAACAAAACAATGCAGATGGGTTCATCAAAATAAAAATTAGCTTCGTGGTGAAAGCTCGAAAGACCTATTAACGTTTATACCGCGCTGCAAAGCGAGGAATCAAGTTTTTATGTGAAGAATAATTTTATCTATAATTTTAATTAATTTTAATAAGTTAAACGTTATTTTTAACAATTTTTAAGTTGTTTTGAAATATATTTAAGTGGCTTCAGTAATCCGAACGCCTCGATAATCCGGCAATATGCCGGAACGATATCTGCCGGACTACTGAAGGTATGCTGTAATAATATATATAATAATTTTTGAAAACCTTCCCCCATCGGTAAAAGAGCATACATATAATTTTTTTTTATTTTTAGCATCTAATTTTCGCAATACAATAGGCCCCCACGACACTCGACTAAATCGCCATTTAGCATCTTGGCTCCCCTATTATTAGGCCTATATTTGAACGACAAAGAAGAAAATTGACTATAAACATATCAGCGAAACGAAATAAATTACGAAAATTCCAATAACAAAATAAAATGGAATCAAATAAGTTGTTTTCAATTTTTAATCGATGGAATTTTTCAATTACGGATATTTCATATTTCATTAAGTTTTGCTGATTATTAAATAGATGCAAACCGAAAAAAATCAATGTTCTTGGAATAAATCGAAACAGCCCCCGTCAAATCTAATTAAAAATTGATTAAAACGATAGTATCGCGACCTGAATCGTGTTAATAAATATGTAGAAAAAAAGCGGCTCTCTGGCGATGTGGCACGGTGATGGTACTCTTGGAAAAATACAATAACCAAGATAAAGCAGGTAGGCAAATAATTGAAAGTTTCCACACAGCATCAATCATCGAGATTTATCCAGAAATAGCTGACAGCATGCAGCAGTTCGCGAGAACAAGCTGATTAATCTTAATATTCGTTCTGTCGTTCTGATTCTTGTTCAAATATGACGCTACTTTGGCTTCGGCTATAATTACGACATCAGAATATCTTGCCTCTATTGACGTATAATACTTAATTACAGCAAAATGTTCGTCTTCGTTTCTTAAGCGTCGTCCACACGCAACGACTTACCGTACTATTTGCTTACGTTGACAAAACGTTGCAGATAAAACGTACAGACAAATGTGTGTCCACATTACAACATCCAGTTCTTCAGTCGTGGTCTTTAGATAAAGTGGTGTTCTATATTTGAATATGATTGAGTTTCTTCCATAAGTACTCCATGCTAACTTAATTCTTCTGTTGAGAGACCCAAATATTTATATTCTTCTACTATTTCCAGTACCTATTGTGTTATTTATTGGAATATTTTTCTGTTTACTAGTTCGTTGTACATTACTTTAGTTTTTGCCTCGGTTTTTGCTAAATTTATTTTGAGACCTACTTTATTGCTGACTGTTTTTAGTTCGTTAATTTGTGCTTGTAGTTCTTCTTGTTCCTCTTGCTGTTTGCTTAAATAAGTTAAAAAAGGCAAATTAAACGCCTTAACTACGTCTCTACTATAGATCTTTTGGGGTCTCTTGATGGTTCAGAAAATTAAGTAAATTAAAATACCACATATCCGGTTTATAAATATCTGCATCACTATCGTAGTGCAACAATCTCGTAGGCTTGATTTTTTTCTTCCCTGTCACTGTATTATTTTAATTTTATTCGCTGAACTCACTAACTTGCTGTCCACACGCTACGTTTATATGCAACGTTTTGACGACACGAGCAAATCGTACCAAGTCGTTACGTCTGGGCCACGCTTTAAGACAAATAAAATATCACCAAAATGAAATCTTCAATGCAAAAAAACTAAATAATAAATGTGTTAGAATGAGCTTTTTTTTCTTTTATATGTCAAATTTGTTATATTTATGTATTACTGACTTCTGACGTTCCAAGACGATGTCTGACAAATCCATTTCTTCTCCGATTTTGTTGATGAATTAAAGAAATACTCGGAAAATATCTCTTGTTCTTGGTCCCACCAAAAAAAAAATCAATCAGAAAAATGTAACGAGATCGCTTTAAATCGAAAAGAAATTGAAAAGAACATTATATCAATAAACAACGAACAAGAGAATTTCCTGACCAAAGAAAATTTTGTCTGAAAATATCCAGGAAATTTGGAATAAAACCATGACCTAGTAAACTGCGTGTCAATGACCTAGAAAATCGATGGCATTTAGTGAAAAGTTTCTGAATTTCATCTGATAATAATTTAAAAGCGTTATTTTACGTTTATAAAGTTTATTTTTCATTATAAAATTCAATTATTCTTTATTATAAGGTATTTCAAATTGAGAGAATTAAACTTATTGTAAGTTTATAACAGAATATGCGCATCTGCATAATATATCCCAGAATATTTTTTTAAGCTTGATACAGTGAATAATTATCTGGGAAGGCCATTTATCAACTTTAAAACAGTAAAACACTAAAAAGTCGAAGTTCCTAAAATTTAACACTGCAATTCTGTAAAATTACAGCCTAAAACTTTCTCGCAAAAAATATCTAGACGCGAATTCGTTCCTTCAATGAAAATTAAAATTTTGAAATACACAACGCATTTCAAATATACATGTAAACGACTGAGATAAAAGTCAAATAAGACTTTTTTATTTCGTAAATCCCCATAAACCAGGATACTTCAAATTACAATAAAGAATTACTAAAACAAAAATTTTCTTTAATAAAAAAATGTTTGAGTTAAAACCTTGCCCACAAGAATTTCGAATTTGTTTTATGGGAAATCGCAAAAGCAAATTTATTTCGAGAACTGCCTTTAAGGCATTTTTTTACAAATAAACCGTATTTAATCGTTTCATATCGAAAAAATGTATTAGGTCTCGCTCAAACACCCCGACTCGCAAAAAAAGTGTGAAGTTAAATTAAAATTTGTTTTTAGCTTTGAAAAAAAAATCGGGGGATTTAAAAAGCCTTTAATCATCTAGAATATTAAAAGCGCCCCAAGAAAAATCCTAAAAAAATACAAGGCAGGTTATTTCATTTGTTTTAGGTATCAAATTAACTTTTATTCCATGGATGGGCGTGACTAAATAATTTTTATTTTTTGCTTGTTGGATTTACTTTTTTTTGTTAATTTTTGAATAAATAAATATAAAATTAAAGTACCGTATGATCGAAAAAAAATGGCGTCCAGTTGGCTTGGAAATGACGATAGATGACATTTCCAATATAATTTTACATATAAAATGACAGCGATCTCCATTTCATAGCCATCGCTGACGCCGTTTTTATTCGATCATACGGTAGATGCTACTTAATTTTTACTACCCAAAACTGCGTTACATCACATAAATCTCGTACCTGAGAGAGATAAAAAATTAAAAACTAACAGTTGAAGTTTTTTTTTTCAATAAAAATGATCAACTAACTAGTCTCTGGTCTAGTATTGACTAAAATAAATTTATTTTCGAAAATTTAGGGTGATGCAAAACCTTTGAATCTATGTGTACGTAGAGACTCAAACTTATTGGAGCTTATAACAGAATATGCATCTCTTTATTTTGTTTGAATATTTTTTCGAAAAATATTCAATTCGATAATTAAAATTAATTATCTAGGACGGCCACTTATCAAACTCAAAAATAATAAAACATTAAAAACCAGAAGTTTCTAAAATTTAACTCCGGAATTCTGTAATAAATTACTATTACTATTATAATAAAAAAATAATTTTTATATAGTAGATTAAAAAAAAGGACTAAATAAAAAAAGTATCGTAGATAAAAATAATATTTTTTTTTTGATTCACAAAAAGTCAAGTAAAGTTTACTTCAACAAAACTGCATTAAAGATGAGAGTTTCTTAACCTACTTTAGAAAGTTTGATATTCCGCTAGAAAATAAATTTACAATCCTGGTAGATTAATAAATCAGATCACTTCACACAGCATTTAAAACTTTTTAAAGTTTAGAGAGAAAAAGCCGGAAAACTATAATACAGAATATTAATTTTCCAGATGAAATGCCTTCAACCTTTATAAAATATTTTCGCGATATTGGAAAGATACGAAGTTTTAATTAAAAATATGGAATGTATTTGAAAATGTTGTACAGCATTTCGTATTAATCAACTCTAAATTAATTGCGTATAATGTGCTCGGTACCAGTAAAAGCTAATATCATCAATGAGAGAGAGTTTATATCGATTTTCCAGTACTTAACGCCCTTCACCTTGATACTGAAAACTATTTTTTAATTTATCCCCAACATGTTTTAAGCCACTTATAAAAAATATACATACAAACAGCTATATTCGGCTGATTGATGCATAGGCGTGTCCCTTTCGTCACAAAAAATCCAATAAATTAAAAATCAATATACCAGAATCCGGAATTTTGTTTTCTTTAGTTTAGGCGCTCCGTGTTAAAAAATTATAAATCGCATTTCACAAAATTTCGCAAAATATACCTGCCTGATGTTCATTAAATCAACATATGACCGGATTTATCCGAATATGTTCGGGTTTTTAAGGTTTCCTGGATGGGCCTTCCGGAATTTGAAAAAATTGTCGGAAAATCTAAACGTAAAGACTAAATCTAAACTTGTATGGAAACCCTCTACTGAGGTATACGCTTTGACTGTAGAATATATCATCAGACCTCATAATTACAGAAAATGTACTATTGTAATTATTTTTTTCTGAAAGATCTTCTCTGCACAGTTAATAGAGAAATGTCTCTATTAAACAATATTTGCTTTTAAAAAGTTGTCAGTAAAAAGATAAACTAAATAAGACTTCTAATTCATTAGCAAGGAAACCAGAAGCAGAAAGGTATACGCTGAATGTGGTAGACAAAGGCCGTATTCATTTCTAACAATAAGAAAATCTTTAACAATCCAAGTATGGAAATTTCTCAACAATATGGTAAACACTCATAAAACGCTCCAATACAGGTATTCTTAATGAAGAACGTCATGCCTTTACCGCACCCAACTAATTCACGGGTGAATACTCGATTCTAGCATATAGGGTCAGTAGTTTTAGGATTTAGTATTTAGTTTAGTTCACACTTGATAACGGTCCGTCATACTTCTGACCGAAACGTTGTGTAAGCAAAAAGACAATGGAAGTCTATACTTATAAAGAAGTTTATACTCGTATATGTTAAGGTGCAGCAATTTTTTTTTCTTTTAATTACCGAGAAAATATCGTCCACGATGATGAAAAAAAATTCTGGTAGAGTTTGAGATATCGAGGTGTTTTTTTGAAAATGAGATGTTTTTTTGAAATTTTATTGTGTTCTAACAAATGAGTGTATTGTAAAAATCAATACATATTCTTGTAGGAAATTGAATGGTCTTCAAAAAAGGCCTGATATGATTTTTCATTTAATTGACTCGTTCGAAAGTTATTGAAGGTTAAATTTCAACTTCAAATCGTATATATGAAAACTTCCACAATTTTTTATATTTTATCACGAAATAATAGCTCAACGACATAAAATATCCTATAAGTTCATCAAGCGTTCTCTGGTATACAGGGTGGCCCATCGAAAACGTTCCGCAAGGCATAACGGCCAGGGTAATTTTTTTTTTCAGAAAATCCAAAAACACGTCAATTTTGTTTGTGAGGGGGACAACTTTTGCCCCAAAAATTATTGCAAAATCTTCAACTCTCTAGGCGGGGGTGTCATCCCCCAATTTTTTTCAAATGGGAAGGGGGGTCAAGTGGTACCGCAATGAAAAGGGCTTTCTATTCTCTATACTTTCCCGCTTCGTTTTTGAAAATCGGTCGAGTCATTGAGAAAATATGAAGGATTGAAATTTGAAAAGTTTATTTAAACATAAGGATAAATTCTTCGACTAATTTGCTGTTTTTTCTTATTATTTCTAGATGTTTACGCATTTTTTCACTTGCCACAAGGTTGAACGATCAGGTGTGGTAGTTGTTAGATAACTGTTCTGTGACTTATGCGTTGAAGTTCTTCTCAATATCGTTAAACTTTTTAACAATTATGGTGTACTCACTTGCAGAAAAAGTGGAAATAATCGACCTTTATTTTAAAAATAATGAATGTGGCAATCGGGTTGCGCAGATATTCAATGAACGCCATCCTGACAAACACCTTTATGGCAAAATTGTTCGCGAGTTAGTAGCAAAATTTCGCGAAACTCTGGTTCCGTTAGGAATAAAAAGAGACAGAGGGAAAATCCTGTAGTAAATGAAGCTATGGAGGTATTCGTATTGGGCCAAGTTGCCATGGATAGTACACTGAGTACAAGAAAATTAGCCAATGAGACCGGCCTGAATCGTACAAGTGTCCAAAGGATATTAAAAAAACCCTTTCCACAAAAAAAAGTTCCACCCGTACAAAATTCAGTTAGTACAAGAACTCAACGAAGACGATTTTGATCGTCGCTTGCAATTTTGTGAAACTATGAGTGAACGAGTGGCGAATGATAATAATTTCCTATTTAATGTGTGTTTTTTCGGATGAGTGTACTTTCTTTTTGAACGGTGTCGTTAATCGATATAACTGTCGGTACTGGGCTGAGGAAAACCCCAGGGTTTTTCACGAGGTGCACAAACAAAACCCTCAGAAATTGAACGTGTGGGCTGGTATTTTTGGAAATTCTATTATGGGTCAGTTTAACGATATTGAGAAGGACTTCAACGCACAAGTCACAGAACAGCTATCTATCAACTACCATCAACTACCGCACCTGATCGTTCAACCTTGTGGCAAGTGAGAAAATGCGTAAACCATCTAGAAATAATAAAAAAAACCTCAAATTGGTCGAAGGTATTTAACCTTATCATTTACTCTGATAGATGTTTAAATAAACTTTTCAAATTTCAATCCTTCATATTTTCTCAATGACTTGACCGATTTTCAAAAACGAGGCGGGGAAATATAGAGAATAGAAACACAGTTTAAAGAATATAAAATATATATATTTTTTATATTTTATATATATTTATATATTATATATTAATAATATATATTTTATATTCTTTAAACTGTGATAGAAAGCTCTTTTCATTGCAGTGCCACTTGACACCCCTTCCCATTTTAAAAAAGTTGGGGGATGACACCCCCGCTTAGAGGGTTGAAGATTTTGCAATCATTTTTGGGGCAAAAGTTGTCCCCCTCACAAACAAAATTGATGTGTTTTTGGATTTTTTGAAAAAAAAAATACCCTGGCCGTTATACCGTGCGGAACGTTTTCGATGGACCACCCTGTATATATATATATATATATATATATATATATATATATATATATATATATATATATATATATATATATATATATATATATATATATATATATATATAAAACATAGTAATTATTAATTATCGCTAATTACAATAATTAGGAATTATCCTGTTCCAATAATAATTTTTTTTTTATCAACTACGACTTAACGTTCTTTTTTGTATGCTGCCTGGCGACCAATACGTTTAGTTTTATTGCAATTTGGTGTCCTCCAGTGAAATACAAACGAACCCATGACTGCTCTATTGATGAAAAGCTGCCGTACGCAAAGGACAACATAGCTTTTTAAATAATAATTTTTTTTATTAACAAAAACTGCTACACCTTCAATAACTTTTAAACGAGTCGATTAAATGAAAAATCATATCAGACCTTTTTTGAAGATCGTTCAATTTCCTACAAGAATATGTATTGATATTTACAACAACACGCTGATTTGTTAGAAAGCAATGAAGTTAAAAAAAAATGTTTCCCGTGCCTCATATTTTTTTTGGTGCACCCTAATATATACAGGGTGTCCCAGAAATAAGTGCAAGTATTTTAAGGGGTGGTAGATCTCGATAAAAGAAACATATTTTCTCTTTATCGTTTTTCAAATAAGTCCAAAATAACGGAGTTATTTTACTTTGAAAATTTCGAAAAAAAATATATCTTTTGCTAAAATTTTGAGAACTACTGGATCTTTCCTGGATTTTCTTTCTTGTAAATTTAATCTACTACCTATGTTGCCATATTATCAAGAAATTGTTTTTTAACTAAAAAAAATCGATTTTTTTTTCGCGAAAAAAACCTCATAGGCGTGTTTCTGGGGTTGAACTATACTACCAGTTAAAATACTTGCACTTATTTCTGGGACACCTTGTATAGTCTGTGGAAAACCTGCAGGGGTGAATGCAAAAAAGGATACTTCCATTCGACGACGTCAATGCAGAGCTTCCTTATGGGGTTCTTGAGATTGAGGCAGAACAGTGCACGCTTCGGACGGTCGGGAGGCTGTTTCTGGACCCTCCTGGGGGGCCTCTTGGGGGCGACGGGCTGCTGCTGGGCCTGCTGCTGTCCCTGAGGAGGGCTCTGCACCTGCCCTGCTGGCCCCCCACCCCCCACGGTGCTCATCGCGACTGCGCTGGCGCTTGTGGGACTAAGTGGGGGAGCTTGCCATGCGCTCTGCCCCTTCGGTACGCCGCTGTACCCGGAGACCGACCACAGACGGTTGTTGTAGGCTGCTGGTTCCTGAAATTCATACTGCAGCCCTGAAACGTGAAGCGGTGCTCAGAATTCCGCGATTGGTAGCTCTCTCAGCTCGTTGGTCTTCTTTGCCATACAATTATGATAAGTATTTATCAGAATTAAAACAAAAATATTGGCTCATGAATATTTTCAATAAGTCAGAGTATTTTCTACACAATTTCAAAGCCCCTAAAATTTTGAAAATTTCAACATTTTTTGTACGAATTTATATGCAGATTTAGAATATATAGAGAACTCTTGGCTTTTGAGCCATTTTTAATAATAGTTAAAACTTGACTTACGTCAAAATTGGTATTCGTAAGACCACAACGGCCTAAATTTTCGAATTTTACGCCATCTACTTAGCAAATAACAGTTTTATAAAAATTCAAGATTTTATAAAACTTCAAGACCCTTAAAAAATAATATACATGAATTATAGAATTTTGAACATTTTAGGGTTTTATGAAATTTTATGTAGGCCACACAGTATAGAGATTTGTTCGTCAACAACTGTAATTCAACGATATACGAGTACATAGAGCGCAGTCAGTTTTATTCATACAATACCGAGATTTTTGAATAAAACCTGTTTGTTTCCTACTCTACGAAATTCCGTAATATATATGAAAGAAAATCTAACGAGTATTGTGTTAAACCAGTCCTGTAGAAAAATGACACATCCTGTGTGATATACGAGCCTTTTCATGATTTTACAGCAACAAAAAATCGTTCTCTTTAAAAAGATTTCCGGTAGAGAGAAAAAGCTTCAAAACTGAATTTGAAAAATTAAAAAAAAGTTTCAGTTCTAATTCCTTTTTAACTAGAATCCTTTCGAGATAATGTGAAACCCTCACAGGTCGAAAAAAGTATAAACAATTCAATAGGGTGTTCATTTCAGAGTTAAAAAGTCAACAAAAGGTATTAAAGAAGGTAATTAAAAAACTCGTTTCAATTTGAAAGGGTTCCAAAAAAGACGTAATGTTCGAAATTGAATTTGAATAGATATTTTAGTAACTATGGCCATAACACAGCTAATAATTATATTTCAAAACAAAAACGTATATTGTATGACTTAAAATAATATAATTTGAATACTAGAAACATGAATATATGTATTAGTGTATTCAAAACCCACTATATTCAAAATCCAGCGTTATTTAATTTTTAACAGCGCTTTCAGATGGAGCGGAGGCGTCTTCGAGCAAGTACCATGAGCTGAAAAATTTCACATGGGTCGTATGCTCAGTCCGGATGAGCTATCTTGAAAAAACATCCGCGCGGACGGTCCGCTCCATCTGAAAGCGGAGTAGTATTTCTTACCATAAGTAGGAAAAAACAATAAATTCAAGCATACCATCAGCAGTGCCCAAAACCCTGCTTATTCGATATTTTAACAAGTAGGTATCAATTACTACAGAAATAGAAAAAAAACACTTCAACAATCTCGATTATCAGGGGGGTTTTCAAAAAATCGTCCATGTCTTTTATCCTTTTTTAACAAGTTTTTACAAAAATTGCATTTCAAATTGCAAACGATCAAATCTAAAAAAAAGCATTTTAAATTTGATCGTTTAATGTTTCTAGTATCTTGTCCTGGCCGGTAAAAAATGCCCAAATCGTATTTTTAATCATTTCTCAACGAGGATTGCTCATTAGCATATTTGGAAAAACCATTTTTTTACGAATATTTGATACTACACACTTGGTAATTCGAGTCAAATTGTCGTTATGAACCTCATGTTACAATTTCAAATAAACCATATGCGAAAATGTAAAAATTTGACATATGAGTGTCATTTTATATCGAATAAAGTAAAAAAATACCGAGAGTGTTATTCAAAAATAAAAAGTTGTAGTCATTTCCGGTGAAACCGGAAGTGACCGAAAACAATAGAATACGTCAATCAGTCCTAATTTATGTCAGATACTAACATACCAAAGCTCGTTTTTTTAACTGAAAAAATAAAAAAGTTATAGGGGTGAGCCACTTTTGAGACACACCCGCTATTCATTCTGTTCATAGGAATCTGTAGAATCCTCCACTGAAGTTTGGTACACCATTTTTTGACACCCTGTATAAAAAATATCAAACAGACATGTAAATGTTAGCGAAATATTCCAACAGGACAGAGCTTTATCTTAAATCAATAATCACTAATTTAATTAAGTAGATTTCAGTGATTTTTAGCAACATTACTTTATCTAAACATTTTTCTCTGTTAAGCTTCACAGCTCACAGCCTATCCAAATTATAAAATATACTCTTGAGGTTTCCACATATTCTTGATTTTAAGTGAATATTTCTACCGGTGTATGTGGGACAAGAATTTGAGTGAACGAGGAAACTTCTTTTGATCACGCTCACGGCTTTGATGTTTTATTATTAGATTGCGGGCTTTTCTTAATGCAGCGGTGTAATCTCTTTAAATCCTGGCCTAATTTTCAGTCCTGTGGCATTAGTTCTCTTAACACTGTGCTTTATACAATCGAATTAATTCTGCTCCTATAGCCACCCTTCTGGTTCGATATACACACCGCAAAATATTACAACCACTCCGAGAATATTCCGTAGAACGGCGCTTCAAAATTGGTTTTAAAATTTTTCCGGAAACTTTTGTCATTTTTTTCAATTATAAAACAGAAACTTGTTATACGCCGCCCTAATTTTTGGGACAGCGGGAAACATTTGAAAAAAAAGAAAAAATATGAAATTATATTACAGTTTGTATAAAAAAAGTTGTAATAAAAAGTTATGAAGCGATTTTTCGACTTCGGTCCTTAAATTTTAACAGAAACTACAGGTAGGGTGAATATGCCAGTAGTCGGACATACACCAGTGGTCGGACAAAATGTAAAAGTCTAAAGCGCCGTCCACACTCAACGACTTATCGCTTATCGTACACTTTCCTTGCGTCGCGTCGACAAAACGTACAGACCAAGTTGTGTCCAGTGTTGCCAGAATTGAAGGATTTTCTTCAATATGAAGGACTTTACAGTCATATTTCATCGATTGAAGGGCTGAAGGATTTTTACCCAAAAAAAACAATATGACGGTTTCTGGCAGTTTTACAATATAAAAATTGTTAAAATATGTAGTAGGAGCATTTATTATTTTTCCTTCGTCTATTTTTTCACTTTAAAGATGTTTAATTAAGGATGCCTCAGTTTAAGGCAATGTTGCTGTCAAAAAGTCTGCAATTCGAAAGATTTTAATATTTAACAAAAAATTAATAGATACATTTTTATATTCAAACGCGTCTTATTACACACATACCGTAACTAAACAAAAAAAACAGTAGAAAAGAAGTAAATAGGTAAACAGAAAACATCTAATAAGCCAGCTGATCATGGCGTCTTGCACGATTAATTATTCTCGGTTCAAGCAGTCATTGTAAAACCGAGCTGTGTCTCTCGTGTACTTGGCAAACATTTGTTATTGGCACACTGGGTCCCGCGATAGTGCGTCGGGCATCTGTATAGCTCCTATAATAAACAACTTAGACATTTTCTATAAGTGCGAACCTAAAGTATGTAATGTATAGTTTTCATTCAGGGCATTTCTTGTATTTTTAATATTTTTTGGTTGATTCAAAGGTTGATTTTTTTTTATTCGTTTGTTAATATCTCTGAAAGAATCAAAACCAATTTAATAATATGTTAGAATTATGTAAAGTGATCAGAAAGGAAGCCAAAATGCATCCCGATCCACTCACACATTTTTGAGCCACACTGTAGAAGTTAAAATATGTTCATGAAATACATCCTAATACATACTTTAGGTTTGCACTTATATAAAATTTCTAAGTTGTTGATTATAGGAGATGCAGATGCCTGAAGATGGACATGAGATTTTTGAAACATACTATATAATACTGCTGTCGAGTATCAATGTATATATTAAAGCATTTTTGCATATCACAGAAGTTTATTTTTATTTTTTGCATATCACAGAAACACTATTGTTGTAGTTTTTGCTTTTTGTTTAAATAAGTTAAAAAAACCAAGTCAAGCGTCTTAAATAAGTCTCTACTAAAATTTCTTGGGGTGTCTTTTTGATAATTGTATTTAATTACTTCACTAACCAAACTGCGAAAATCTATGTTCAGGAGCTCAAAGTTTTTATATAATAATAAAATTATATAATAAGCAATGAAAGCTACATTTTCGCAATAATCACAACCACCCAGTTCGAAAAATTTGGATTTTTTTAACTTTTCTGCTAAACGGTACGATCACAGAACAGATACAAATCTGTATCTGTTCTGATACAATTTGTATCTGTTCTGTGGTACGGTTTAGGCTACTCTACCCTAATTAAATTCCAATAAATTAATAAATTATGTATATTTCAGTTAAAATAATTCATAATCAATCAAAAATAAAATATGCATAAAATTTCATAACCAAAGACAAACAATTACCCTTGAATGTTACGTATTTATTTGCCTGTATTTCAAAATAGGATCTTAAAGATTTTATAGGGCATTCTGAATCAGATACAAAGGAATAAATACCACAGTGTAACATTTTTCAAAACAATATTATAAACCGAGAATGCTTCCAAGTCTGTTATGTTTACAACTGAAAGGGAATTTAACAAAGCTTCACTTCGCATTCACAATGCAAACATTCTAAAATATTTCTTCCAAGATACTTGGCAATAAAAATAATATTATAAAATACGAAAATACTAAAACGAATCTAAAAAATTAGCTATTTTGTGTGTTATTTCAAAGAGAAAAAAAAATGAGAATATAGCCAGTCTCAAGAAAGTCAGGCAAAGGAAAAGAAAATATTCGTTTCCTTTGATATTACCGTAGTACGTAAAATAAATGAAGGGAAAGTTCTTAAAAATGAACGGTTGGTTGGACAAAGATATCAGTTCAAAAAGCGCGTCATCTCGACTAAATTATAATAAGATTTCATAAGGTCTTTTCGGTCATATTCTCTATTCCTATTTAATAATTAATACATTACAATCAAAATAAAAAAAACTTTGGATTTTTAACTATTTATTATA